ACTTCTCTCAGTGACAGCGTATGATTCTTCCTACTTCAGAAGGAGTTCCCGTCAACCTGGTCCGCATCCGACTGTATACTATCTTCCTCTAAACTCTACTTGATCTCTGACTTGAAAGGTTCTGCTTTTCATCGTTCATTTGTGTTCATATTTCGTGGCGTCCATCTTCTGTTTATGCTTTGCATTCCTGTCAGCTTCTTTCCGTTCTGTTCGCAATTTCCTTGTACTCTACTATTGATGGAGGGGTCAGATCTTGTTGTGTATTGATTAATAGTCGTTGTTTTCCACCAAACATCAACTGAAAGGGATAGTTTTGAATAGTGCCACTGTGACCTTCTTGGCGTTACCCATTTTTGTTATGTCTTGTTACGAAATTCCTTACCCCACTGGAGTTGGCTGGCGTTAACACGTTTCTGTTTGCCTCCTCTTTTGATGGTATAAACGGGACCACTTCTCTCAGTGACAGCGTATGATCCTTCCCACTTTGGAAGGAGTTTGGATGAGCCTATTCTACATCCAGCCAAATACTTTCCTCCTCTACACTTGATCTCCTAATTCAAAGGTTTCCTCTTTTCTCTTTGCTCAAATTTCGTAACGTCCATCTTTATTTATTTATTTTTCGGATTATAGTTCGATTCCACACCGTATTTTTGGTACAAGTATGGAATTTTCAGCATGTGATATCGGTAGCCCAAATTTTGCAGGCCGACCATTGATATCAGGTGGGTGTCGGCAGGAAATGGAACCCCGGACCACGTGCGTCCTAAGTGCTGTGCCGCCGACGCTTTATCATTCCTGGCTGCTTGTTTCCGTTCTGCTGACAGTCTCACCATACTCCATTCCTGATGAAGGGGTCTTGTTGTGTATTGATAGTAGTGAGTTTCAACCATACATCAACTAGAATGGTGAATTCTTTGTTATTTGCTGGTATGTAGCACAATGTGCCAGTATATTCAATGGCAACTCTATCTCCCAGTTACCTCCTTTTGAGGCCAGCCACTCCATCAGTTAACAGTTATTTCTCTCTGTCAAACTCTTAGTTTGTGGATGATCTAATCTTCTTGATACCTAGCTGCAGCATTCAGGATCACGAATTGACTCTGAGTAGCAAACCATCAAAAACCGTGGAGTACTAGGCAGCTGTTTCATCTTGGTTCGAGATTTTTTGGCAGGCATGACTCTACTTGCCGAAGATCGAATCCAGTACCTTCATGTCACATGGTGAACTTGTTTACTAATCAGACACTAAGACGGAATCCAACAGCGCTTCAATCCTAACTTCTACCAGTCTGCGATATAGCGCAACCGTCAGCTTGAAGGTCCCGGGTTCGATCCCTGGTGAGCTGATGGATGCGTACTGATGAAGAGCTGCAGACAAGGGCGAGACAACTGTCTGGTACTCCCTACTGGTTTTCAATGCTTCTCTGGCTGAATTCATTTCATGATAGAAATTAAAATAACAGGGAATTTCGAGAGAGGCATTTTCGATGCGTATTTTTAAAAATCTTGTATTGTTTGTAGTCCATTTACTTAGACATTTCTCTTTCAGTCAGTTGGCCTTGGTCTCGGACGCCGTGTCTGTATCAAAATAATATTTTAAATGTTAATAATTCTTCAAACATTAGATCCGCATTCATCAAATTACCAACGTAACCATGTGAACTCAGTTTCCGGAACACTCCTTTTAATATTCCAGACTATGTATAAGCCACACTTATAGTGTGTTAGGACTAATGATACAACCCCCTAGTTTTAGCCCTGGCTGAATTAAGCAAAGCAGGACTCGAATCCATAACCTATTGACTGAAAGTTTAGCGTTTGTGTCAAAGAGGACCACACCCGCACAACAGGATTCCGCTGGACAAATCGTACTCAGATGATACTTTTGTTTCGTTTAAGATGACTAGGATACATGATGCGCATGCCAAGTCGTCGCCTTCCTCGTCATGCAGTGTTATCTGATGTAGGGTTGTGTCGGAATAGAGTTACAGGGCAAAGTTCAACAATTGCGTCCCAATAGGGATGTGAACGCACGGGTGACCTTCAGCCGACCAATCATAAAACTGAGGAATTTCTGCACAAAAAATGACGTATATTTACAAGAAAATGCATGAAGACACCTTTACACAGGTTATCTTTCTCTGACATGACTTAAAAGTATGTCCAAGTTGTAATGAGGAGTTCCAGTTGCTAAGTTAGACTAGCTTCTGTACATGTATTCATGTATCCTCCATGCAATCAAACAAAATCCCTACAAAGCCAATACTCGAAAGTTTGATATTTGGAAAAAATCCAAGTTGGTCAGTCAGATAATGATCCCTACAAAATTAACTGGGGTTTGCTTTCCGATTAATGTAATCAATAAATCATACAAGTAGAACATTATGGGTGTAGCAAGAGATGTGGCACACAAAATCTTATGGTTTGTGCAAGGGCTGGGATGCTGCCCGGATGTGCTTAGGTCGAAGCAAGTGGTTGTATTAAGAGGTCGTCCTGGCAAGCCTTTAGCTAGAAGTCTGATCCTGACACAAGGTAGCAGAACAGCGTCAGGAGCAGCTACGTTCCATATGATTATCGGTGACCGATACAGATCCATACACGCCATGCGGTCCGTTCGGATTCTAGTGGTTATGTACACCATAGGGGTTTGGAGTCAAGGTTTTCCAGCTTCCCTAGGTATAGACCTACCTGAATATCCACCAGTTCGGTTGTAAGCACCGAACGTTCGAATTAGCCCTTCCACTTTTATGAGGAAAAACCCGGTGGTGCGTGAAGGCAGAGATTAGGACTTATCTAGCAGAGTCTTGAGAGGAAGGCCGAAGTCTACTCGCCCACCCACCGTTAGCCGGCGCATCAGGTCATTTATAGTTGATGTTGTCTTCTCTTAATACATCAATTTATTTCGTTTCCACAGTCTTTATTTTCTAATTCACATATAATAAGTCAGCCTATTGAATTATTTTATAAAAACACGTAGATTCCAGACCTTATCGCTAAGCAGAGTAATGATGAATGGGTTGGGTTAATTGATGAAAATCAGATCCATTAATTAATCATCACACTATGTGCTCTAAGAGTAGATGGAACGTGTATATAATATATACCCGAAATCAGATAGTAGTCATGCGTGTGTGTGAGTTTGTGTGTATGTGTGTTCAGACTGAATGAAAACACCACACACACACAGAATTTTTAAATCATGTGGTCTTTATGTTAGTTCATTTATTCAAACAACCTCTCATTATTGGTAATAATAGTAAATCTATTGAAAACTTTATTACTCTATTTACTACCATATTCATCCAAATATCCCAGTGACTTCCGAACTCAAATCGAATAACAAATCGAATCGGTTTCCTCGGTATTACAATGACCAGGAGAGATGATGGAACGATTCAGCGATCTATATATTTCGTAAACAGACATGGAGTTGACAATATCTTCACTTTGTTCCTATCCAGTATAAACGTTCCCTAGTAAAATGTTTGTTCTCAAGGGTCGGAAAAATATTCACGAGTAACACAGTGATGGATGAGTTTCGACATATACAACATTCAGTTTTACTAGCTAATGGTTATCCGGAAAACTTTATCACTTATCACAGTAAAGAAAGACTATATCTCGAAAAGACAGCTACTGTACCAAAGAAAGCTATCTTTATTAACCTACCTACCTCAAGGGTGACCAGATTATGCAGTTGACAGCTAGTTCAAGGAGACTTTGGTCAGCCATCAAACGCACATTCTACGCCACATCACTTTTTCTCACTTACCGAACATTTTCGATCTCTGTACCTACGATTAAAGGACAAAATCCTGTGGACTCTACTTCAAACTGTATCAACAAGTTCATCTGCAGTTGTTGCGGTGACACCTATATAGGTAGAACCAATAGAATGCTACAATGTCGTCGAAAAGAACATGTTCCAAACTGGTTACTAAAACATATAGAAAATCCAAATACAATTAATTTGAATAGAAATCCAGCATCATTGATTGCAAAACAATTATTAATGTCAGGTCACAAAATCAATCAATATTAATGACTGTTTCACAATTATCTAATCACATAACTCTAATTCAAGGTTATTGAAGGTGAAGGAAGCACTTAGGGGGATTAATCACATACAGCCTAAACTGTGTGTACAAAAAACAATAGACTTCAATCTTTGCCTACCATGGACTACTTGACCTTTTAAATATGATTGCTCATTAGTATGTACTTTTGTTCTTTATTCAAATGAGCCGTGACCCGTAGGGTACAACAGGTTGAAGATGAGGCAGTAACTCATCGAAGAAGAAGACATTGCGAAGTGGTCGCGCTATATCGTGAATTGACAGAAGTTAGAATTCAAGGACCATTGGATCGGGTCCCAGTGGCTCAATGGTCTACGAGTTCACCTTGTAACCAGAAGGTCCTGGGTTCGAATCCCGGTGGGTGCGTACTGATGAAGAGTCTCAAACTAGACTGACGAAACAACTGCCCAGTACTCCCAGGTTTTCCAGTGATTCTCTAACTGATGTCAGCTCATGATGAAATCCTCCATGAAATGAGTAATTGGTAACCATGTTAGTTGTAAAGCGGTTGTAAAGAAACTACGAAATGATGCCATCATCTCGCGAAATTTGTCTTCTAAATGCCTTATTCAAATTATTCATTAGTATCAACAAAAGTACGCTCTAATAGTTGATTGGTTGGCTAGTCTCTTCATATATTGTCATGTCAACCAGTGTGAATGAGTGTATATCACAGTCGAATGTAAGACGCAGGTTACCTGTCAATTGAAGACTCGTCAACTGGATGTTGGTGATATTGTGACGATGTTTCTCTCTCCTGTTGAGAGATTCGAATCTAGCATGCATCGATTTAGATGCCAAGGCAACTGTTGATTGGATCCAGGTTACTGTGCCCTAACTAATTAACTTATTTTCACTTGAATTGTATTCTTGTTATAGTCAACAGTTTCTGGTCTAATTACTTCATTATTTTTCTTATTCCAGTGCTCCCAATCACTTCACTGAGGAATGGTTACAAAAATTCAATTATGAAGCTGGAATTAATTGGCGACTCAAGGTTAGTTAGTAAGCGAACAAATGACCAGAAATGGTATATTTTGTCTATATTATGAGCCATTATATATATATATATATTCAGGGTTTCAGTACAGAAGACGTTCCTTTGATCGAGGAATCCAGTTTTACAAACTGTACAGCAAAGTTAAACTTTAAACACCTCCAACTACTAATCAGCGAATCACCTCGAACGCACCAATGTCTGTCTGTCTGTTTTCGACATAGAACTTTGCACCGATGTGCGGCAGTTCAAGTCGCCCCATTCTCTCCATGCAGCACACAAAGCAAGAGAAAAAAGTAGAAGAAATGCATAATAGAGACAGTAAACAGAGGTGTGAGACAAAGGAATAGTAGTAACGAAGAACAAAAGTTTCATTGGAAATCATGAGTCACAAGGAGTGGATGCTTCTGTGCCATTGAGAACGATTTTGAGCCATATCACCGATTGTTTCCAACCTTCATTGGTTCTTACCATCGCGAGGACCCCAACCAGGTAGGCAGGTAGTCTACACCTTCATACGTGGCTAGCATGAACTACCTGTTGTGCATTTTATTGACTGACGAAACCCTGTTTTGGTTTGACCAAAGTTTGATTTGAATTCGACCCAATAATTGTCTTCCTACTCATGAATTGAAATTATCGTCAACCTGCTTTTGTGTTGAATGGATGGTGGTCGTTGATTACTTCACATAACTATCCTGCTATTATCATTGTTATTATTATTATTATTATTATATGTTTGTCTCCCACTTCCTTTCATAATCAAGGTCAGTAATCTGAAGAAAGTACTGAAGGCTGTTATCGATTTTTTAACTGAGGTACGTTAGTTAATTTGTTGAATTTCCTTGATTTGTTGGTTCATTGTTATCTGACTGCACATGCTATTGCCCTCCAACCTCCACTCCTCACATATGTGTCTCTGAGCGTGTGTGTGTGTATGTGTATTTGTTTGTTTGTTGAAGTAGGTTGATGGGAACACCCTAAATATATCATGTAGATATGGTGTATATTATTTATTTATATTTTTTAAAAAATCTTGATTATAGCTTGATTTCACAAAGTATTTCGGTACACAACTATGGAATTTTCAGGATGCGATATCGGTAGCTTAAATTTAGCTGACCGACCATTGATTTCAGGTGTACGTCGGCCAGGGATCGGACCCCCAGACCATGTGCGCATGATCGGCGAGCATTCTAACCGCTGTACCACCGATGCACACCTACGTGTATATGTAATAAGGCGTATGTAAAGACAACGGGGAGATAGGCAGATAAAATGGTCTCTTTTATTGAGTATGGAAAAAAACATCAAGTTCTCGATAAACATCGAAATTCTCAGTCTGAGTATTGATTTGTATTCTTCAGTTTTCAGCCTTCCTGACTGTAATTTACTAATCATTAGGACCATCTTATTATTGTTATTATTATTATGAAGAGATTGTAGAGTGGGGTATCGTGCTTTTGGGCACACCCTCGAGTATATAGATTAATGATGCTAGTTTTGTCTTAAGTGGTTTGCCGTTTTATCCTCTTTTGGCTTATGTGTGAATTTTTTATATAACTGAAGTGTATGTAAACCGTGTTGAAGGGTTAAGGGCTGTTCATCAACCTTATTCAACAGCTGTGCAACAACGGCACATGTCAAATGATCCACAACGGAAAACTCAGCGAGGCGTTTGGAGTAAACACAGGAGTCAGACAAGGGTGCTTATTATCACCAGTGATATTCCTTATTGTGGTGGACTGGATTATGCGTCAGCCAGTGGGAAACGAGAAGACAGGCATATCCTGGATCGACGTGAAGAATCTAGAAGACCTGGATTTCGCGGATGAATTATGTTTGATGTCACACAAAATCGAAGACTTACAAGCGAAAACCGACAAACTGGTGGAAGAAGCAGCAGGTGAACATAGACAAGATGGAGGTGACGAAAATAACCAACCACCACCAACAACAACATCCACCACCAATCACCATCAACGGGAGAGATTTGAAAGAGATTACTTCATTCACTTATCTAGGGAGCATTGTCTCAACTACAGGAGGATCGGACGAGGATGTCAAATCGAGAATCGGGAAGGCGAGAAACACATTCATCAACCTGAAACCAATCTGGAAATCTTCGTCACTCAGCATCAACAAGAAAATTCGGATTTTCAATACAAACGTCAAGTCAGTCAGTTCTGCTATACGGATGGATCAGAAACTTGGCGGGTCACAAAGAATATTTCCAACAGCCTGTTGCAGACCTTTATCAACAACGGTCTTCGTTCTATACTCAAGATCAGATGGCCGGAAAGAACAAGAACCAACAAGAAACTATGGGAACGAACAAAACAAGAACCAATCGCCCGAAAAATATGCAGGAGAAAGTGGAGATGGTTTGGACACTATCTGAGGAGGCTGCTGGGTGACATCTCGCGTCAGGCCAGTGCTCGAGTGGAACCCAAAAAGGAAGCAGCGAGTGGTACGTCCAAGGGTGACATGGAGGAGATCGTGTGAAGAGGAGTTGAAACAGTATGGACTAACATGGATGCAGGTGAAAAGTACAGCAGAAGACAGAAGCAAGTGGAGATATGCAGTTGAAGCTTTATGTTCCACTAGGAACCCAAGGGAACAACAATAATATTATAAGTGGAATCTAGGATATGCATTTCGTCCTGTTCGGGGCTCTTCATCTGGATGAACCTGCATTCCCTAGTGACTGATTGTGTTCCCATGGAGGCTCGAACCCAGTGCCCATAGTTCCAAACGCGAAAGCGTTATCCACTAGACCAGTTGGGCCATGAGAACCACCACCTCTTGTGCAACGGGTCGAAATGCGCGTTATCCTGGATTCCACTGCTAGTCACCATCCGCCAATTAACTTCTAATTACACGCCCAGACATCGTTGAAGACTCTGTACAAGTTGCCGACATGTCAACCTGAGACCGAACACTTCGGTTCAATCAATCGATGGGAAAATCTAAAAATTGAATTAAATAATGTGTTTATGAATAAAGTGATAAAGTTGAAGCTGTTTCGTCCTCGTCCGAAACTCTTCAATAGTAGTATGCCCCTGTGACTGACTGACTGACTCTTCCAACCGTGGATCGAGCCCAAATGGCCTTTAGGTAATGAGGCGAACTGATTGACTATTCAGTCAGTGGGATAGAATCAAATGGCGTATTAATTCTGTCTACTCTGAATTCCCTGTCCAGTGCTCTTCGGTTGTCAATAGCTTTCTAACTGAATCAATCCGTCGACAAACTTGAAAGCAATCAAATGGCCTACAAACTAATAGCTGCAAATTAATCCGATGTTGACCAGTAACTGATTACAGGATGAAATCATCTGGAGTTCTGGAGGGTAGTTATGATTAGTAAGTGTGTGTGTGTGTGTGTGTGGGTCATCAGGCGCTGGCTCTGAAAATATCGCGAATCGCAATATTGATTGAATAGTCGATGAGGTCGTCTTGTAACTTGAAGATCCTGAGTCTGACCCCTAGTGGAGTCATTTGTCCGTACAGATGAAGAATCCCGAAATAGGATAAAACAACTATCCAATAGGGTATTTTACACAGTGATGATATGTTAATATATGTGTAAAACTTGGGCACTGTGGTAGTATGTAGTTCGATACGAGTTTGTTTATTAGATATATCACACAGTGGAACAGTATTCTATAATGGATGACACGGTTTTGAACACAATCTATTATTGTTCATAATCATTTCATCAATTATAATCACACAACTTCGAAACTTGAGTTTTATAGTTTTCTTTGTTCTCTACTGGGAGTGCAGCTATGCCTGACTTCCATGGTATTTAAATTCCAAGGGAAAATATACAAACAAACTGAGGGAGTTGCCATGGGGTCACCAATATCACTGGTGGTGGCAGATATATTCATGGATGGGTGGGAAAACTTAGCGATTGAAACGTTTAACGCCACCACACGTCGAAGTATGGTGGAGGTATGTAGATGACACATTCACTGTACTCAGGACACAGGATATCGATAGGTTTTTTTCGAACACATCAAATCAAAGGTGGAGGCAATTCAGTTCACTTATGAATTGGAAAGTGGGGAAGGGGAGCTTCCAGTGTTAGATTGTGGCGTAAAAAGGAAAGAAGATGAGAAGTTAAACGCTAGTGTTTATAGAAAACCTATGTATTCAAACAGATATTTGGACTTCCGATCATCCCATTTTGTCAGTGAAAATAAGATTGGTGAAATGTTCAAATAATAAAGCACAAAAACTAAGTACTACCAAGGAAAATCTAAGACAGGAAGTGATACACATAAAAGAAGCCTTGAAACTTAATAATTACCCGGATAAATTAGTCAGGAAATATGTATGGAAATGTAAAAATAAAATAAATAATGATAGTAGCGATAGTGATAATAACAATAAAAATGATAATGATAATAGTGATAATAATAATATTAATGACGACACCTGTAATAAGGAATCTAAATCAACGGTAGTGATTCCATACATGGAAGGAACCTCGGAAGCCTTACGCAGAATTCTTAACAAGGCAGGAATAAAAGTGGCATTCAAACCCACAAACTCGATTAGAAACATGCTTTGTCGGTTAAAGGATCCTGTAGAGCCAATAAAACAAAACAACTTAGTTTATCTAATACCCTGCTTGAATGATTGTCAGGTCAAATACATATGTCAAACTAGTAGAACAGAGTCAGTCAGTCAGACTAGCAGAGCATAAAAACCTAACAAAATCTCGATTGGTTGACCCGAATAAGTTAAGAAATCTAGAGAATAGTTCAGCTGTAGATAGCACTGCATGCAATTACACACAACCATACAATGGGATGATGGCATAAGATGACAGTTTTAAAATCTAATGTCACAGGGTGGAGGGAGAGATTGATAACAGAAGCTTTGTTTATCGAATCAACTGCAAATACGTGTAGTAGGAATGATACAACACATGTCCCAGATATCGGGAAAACCTACTACCCCTACGACAAATAGGAGGGAACAAAGGAAATCATAAAACTCAAGTTTCTAAGTTGTGTGATTATAATTGATGAACAATGATGAATTGTGTTCGAAACTGTGTCACTCAGTAAATAATAATACTGTTTCACTCACTGTGAGTGATATATCTAATAAACAAATTGATATGGAATGATGGTAATATCACTCGTCGCCTTATATTTCTTCAGCAAGTTTGTTCAGTACTACTGTTAATTAATAAGTAGTATTGTTCTGATAACATTGTTTTTTCTTCTCTCGACTCATATTCTATTCTATTCTATCAGTCCGATGAATGTGTTAAATAAATAACGACTTGTATGTATACTCACAAAAATCTCTAATATTTGCCCATAATTTTTCCTTCTTATTCTCTTTGTATCCCACTAAAAATGCCCTAGGCAAAAGTTAAACGAAACGAAATCATTGCTGTTGGTGTTAATAGTAGTGGAACTGCAACTGTAGTAGTAAGATGTGTTCCATGAGTTTCATGTTGTTTTTGTTCCTACTCTTCCTTTCTTTTTTCTTTATGTTCTGTTTTACACCGACGTTATATTTGCAGATTTGTAATAGTTAAAATCAATTATGAGGTGCAATTATTAGCGGGGTTTGTTTTTCTTAAGAGAATTTATGATATTATGTGTCTATAGCATTCTAATTAGTTTGTTTAATGATGGGGGCTTTCTTTGCACTGATGGTGGTCAGCAGAGGAATTCAGAGTGTGCGTCTTGATGTGTTTTTGGTTTATCGTCAGCTGCATGTACCAGCATCTTGATTGAGTGACACTGTTTGTAGCACATATCGTTTTAAATGCTCTATTCTTACGAGTAACCAAATAGGAAGGAGGAAAAGGCATCGTGACATCCACTCTTATTCACCATGAAACAAGTGAAAATATGTTAGTCTCCAAAAACCATCTGGTGTGACTGAGGGTGGGTAGACTCTGGTCTTCCTCCCTCTCGAAATGTTCTCATGTGGCCGCCAGCGAAGTTCTGTCCACTGCCTTCACGCGGCGCGGTGGGGATGTTCCTCACAAAAGTGAAATGGCGAATGTTAACATCTCGTGTGTATAACAGGACTAGCCGATATTCAGGTAGGTCTAACTACGGGGCTGGGGGCTGGAAACCCCTGATTCCAAACCTATGGATCGATTGGCGTACGAACCTGTTTTGTTTGCCGGAAACCATGGACTCACGTAGCTCCTGACACTGCTCTACCACCTTGTGAACCAGACTTGAAGTCACAGGCTCGAGGTATGGGCTGTTTAGACATCCAGATATTTCGGTCTAGTCGTCCCGGCAGTATCTTAGCCTTCACATCGACTGTGGGATTTTGTGTGGCGCATCTTTTGGTGGCCATAATGCGCTAATTTTGCTTTTAATAATAATAACCAGATAGTGAAATTAATCAACGGAAAATTCAAAAATAGTAATTTCATCAAAAGAAGTTATCTATTTTGCTCCTTGTCTGACATTTAGGGTTTTTTCTTTGGATATGATATAACTCTTTCCGAAGTTGAGTTGGATATCCTTACGTACATGCAAAGAAAAGTCGGACGTAGTTCATGGTTTCATCATTATTGTACTGTTTATATCCTAAATATTGTTACATTCATGTGATTTCACTTTTCGTGCTGCTAATGTTCTTATTTTTGCCACTCCCCCTTCAGGAAATCGAAGACAGAATATCTGTTCATTTGTTACCTAATCTTCAAGAAATTGGTAAGTTTATTAACTAAGTGTTTATTATTATTTCTTGCAATACATTGAGTTGAAATAGGGACTGCGAGCTAAACATAGACGAACAAATACCGCTTGACTCCGCCAACAGCGTACACAACAACTAACCTATCTGTCAGCCCTCTCTACTAAGGCGATGGCGGAAGGTGATGGGTTATTTTACACTATAACGTATAATTCCAAAATTTCACCAAGGATATACGTCTATTGGTCTATCATCTTGACCAATAAAAGATTCTGCAGGGAGGCGATTTTTCAGAAACTCCATAAATTTATTCCCTTTAATGAATTTGAATAAAGCAAGAACAACAGTGGATAGTGAAGAATAAGGTGATGGTACCATCATTGTTTATTTCGTTGGCTTACAGACCACAGTCATTACTAGGTATATTTACAGAAACATTTTTAACATACTTGCACAAAGAGTTCATTTTTAAGCAAAAATCAATCAATATATGCATACAATAATTATATAAATATATATATTTATAATAAACAGTTTATCCCATACAATAACGAAAGGCGACGGTTAACCTAAAAGGTTCATCAACAAGTACGGAAGATTAGAAGTCACAAATGTTAAGCAAATCACAGTGAAAAAAGCGTGTTCTCCATGAACTTGATTTTAAAGGTGATAATATTGGAGGAATAATCAATAGAATGTTGCATATGTCACTAACCAGAGCTTATCCTGCAGCTAAGTTGCTTCCCATTTATCGGACAACATACTGTTTGGGGCAATCAAAAGTCGACAGATACTCTTTTCATGTGACCACTTCTAACTGTGTGTAAAAATTTATGTGTATCTGAGGGGGCAGTAACATTGGAAGAGCAGAAAGAAGGGCACACCTCCGATTTCCTAGACATTTACCGAAAAACCGACGCCTCAAGGAAACAAATGCTTTAAATATTGCCATCGCCCGGCACTGTTGCCAGGATCAATAGGTGGACGTCGCAAGGTCGTTAAAAATTATCAATAGGCAATTCTCCGTAAGTTTACCGAAGCAATCTGCATCAAGCGCCTGATACCCGACTTGTGTGTTCAGAAAGCGGCAGTTATCAGTCGCTCCCTGTCCTGCCTGGTAACTTAAGGTCTCATCCTTTCTCTCATCTGATTACGTAACGCTGAGTGTTTCGATCATGTTATATTATTAGTGTTTGGGATAAAGTGATTATTACTATTACTTCTATTGTATGCATATATTGATTTGTTTTTGTTTGAAAATGAACTCTTTATGCAAGTATGTTAAAATTGTTTCTGTAGACATACTTAATAATGACTGACCTGTAAGCAGCTGACGAGGAGCCAATGAAATAAGCGATGATAGTATCATCACCTTATTTTGAACAAGTCACTTTTTCTCTTGCCTTGTTCAAATTCATAAAGGGGAATAAATATATGAATTTTCTGACTGGTTTATTTTCAGACTGGGCATCGGTCATGGTATCAGTGTTTTATCGCCTAATTGTGTGTTGATACTGTTTCATTTCCCTGGGAATATTTCCGCATATGGATATCAAAGTATACTTTCTCCCTTAATACTGAAACATTTTTACTTGTACGTGCTTACTTTGGACTGACAAAGTGATCCTAGAAGATTTCGATTTAGTAGATGACTTATATCTCATGTCAGAAAGTACTCAAGGATTTACTCGAAGCGAAACACAAAAAGTTAGCAGAAGAGGTAATGAAGGTGGGATTCTGGGTGAACATAGTGGAGGCAACAGTAATAAAAAATATTCGACCAGAAACGGTAAAAAGAACACCAGTCATCCTGAATTGGGAGATATCTGAAGGAAGTGACCTGTTTCACTTGCTTAATTGGCATCGTTCTAACTACAGGCGCTAGGGATGAGGATGTCGAAGTCACCACAAAATCAGTGTGGAGATCCACAGCAGTCACGCCGCAGCACAAATGTAGCGAATCCGAATTTGTTTTAGATTAATTTCAAAACAGTTAGTACTTCTCTGTGATGCTTCAGAAACTTAGCACCACTTCATCACCATAAGGATTTCCATCAATAGCTGCTCAATAATTATGCAGAAGAAAATGGACATAGATAGGACATACACTGTGGTGTCCCCTGAGTGACACTATGCACCAGGCTAGAAGACCCAAACGGAGAGCGATGAGTTGTTTAAGGAATAGGAAATGAAAGCCTATGCTCCTCCGGCTGACAAAAGACTATGAAAGAGAACATGGTGAAATGGAGATGTACTGCTGAATTGAAGCCCTACATTGCACTCGAAACATAAGAAATGATAAATATGCTGGTTGATTAACCAAACTTAGCTTATGAAAATTGTGTAAAGCATATAGAATCTGACATATGATGGTTTTTGACTCATTAGAGGGGGTGCCAGCGAAGTTAAGGGAATAGCGGCGATTACTAAGAACTTTGTGATGAATAACCTTAAATCGGTAAGTCACGAATACCTTGCATTAGATTATGGTATAATTGGACGCGGATAAATATACATCTGTGGTGGAACTATGTTAATTAAGCCATATAACGATTTGAATCCATAGAGACGTCTATAGGTGTATTATGATGTGTTTTAAGAGGTAATCTCTTCATGATGGCATTCTACAGGTACGTTTCCCGTAAGTTGTAAACTATTTCTGCACAATGAAGTCAATTGGTTTTGGTGGCGACTAGCAATCGAATCTAGGATGCGCATTTCTTCCCGTTTAGGACTCGTTATCTGGATGTACTTGCATTCCCCAGTGAGTGACTGATGATGTTCCCACCGAGGCTTGAACCCAGTGCCCATAGTCTCAAACGCCAAAGCCCTATCCACTAGACCAATTGGGCTAAGGGAGCCACTCCCTGTGCGATGGTTCTTATTAATTATGTAATTCATTTTAGATTTGCCCATCGATTGGTTGGACCGAAGTGCTTGGTCTCAGGTTGACTTGTCGGCTTCTCCTTGTGCACATGCTTCATTGTTGTCTGGTCATGGGACTTGAAGTCAATTGGTTGATGGTGACTAGCAGTGGACAGACATTTCGGTGATTATATATATGTACTGAATTTGATTGACTTTCTCTATAAATTTCCCTAAGAGGAGTTGAGGAGCTTCTCTACAACATATAACGAAGAATTGTCCCATATAAATTCAGGTGTCTGTGAACTTTTGGAATATAATTCATCAACAGGTTGATGTTATTTTATGTTGTTCCGCTTTTTGTGGTTGGTTGTTCAAGGTCATTTAGGAGATTCTCGATGGTCACCAGCATACATCTGAAGTTAACCTAAGTGAAACTGTGAAGGATGAGTCAAATGTTAAGTATGTGATGAGTTTTTTCAACAACACTTAAGCATCCACCCAATCACAACCTCAACAGGAACCGAACCGAGGACCTTCAGGTCAAAAGACGAGCCCATCTACCATCCAACCACTGGGATGGAATTCAAAAGCTCGGGAATTCTAACTTCTGCCAACTCGAGATATACGTAATGCCACTATAATTCAGTGTCATTAGCGACTTTGTGGTGAGAAATCCTGACCAATTAGGTCCACCGAATTGCGTGTTTGGAGAGATACTAGGCAATTGTAGTGGTTGGGGGTCGTGCTTTATGTCGCGAATCGGCAGAAGTTAGAATTAATGGTCCATTGCACTCCGGCCCAGTAGCTCAGTGATACGGGTCCCTGGTAGGATCAAGGGTGCGTGTTGCTGAGGAGTTCCAAACAAGGAAGTCACAGCTCTCCAGTACTCCTTGATCCTTTAACTGAAGTCTGTTCGTAACTAATCTTCAAATCAGTAAAATCCCTGTAAACCATCACTTGAAAATTTGAATATGTGCTAAATCTTGGATGTACATAAACTGAGTTCCATTTCGATTCAGTCAGTCATCTCGGTATTCCAGCTTATACCCTCCCTAGGTGTGACTCTAGTCAAGTCTGTTGGAGTTCATAGAATTATTTTAATTGATTTTTCTGTCATGTACATCCTTGATGCTGCCTGTCTGTGTTTGTGTGTGCATATCTGAATCATGAATAATGCTCAAAGGTTTGTTTTGGTCAATATTTTCTTCGATGGCCTATACACATGTTCGATTCATGTGCCATTTATAAACTATTTCAGGGGAATTTGAAAGGAATGAGTGGATAACGTCATCATTCATCTTTAGTCTTATTATATTTAGTCTTTTATTTGTTGATGCTGTATACTACTAACTAATGTTTGAGTAGTTAAAAATGAGGAGGATAATTTTTTACTCCTTTTTTATGTAAATTGATTTTTCAGCTGAACATGAAGATAACGAGTCAACCTTTCGTCTGTTACAACTCATTCTTGGTTGTGCTGTCAACTGTGATAATAAAGAAACGTATATTCAAATCATCATGTGTATGGAAGAATCAGTACAACAAGCATTAATGGAAGCGATACAACAAGTAATACTCTATTTTAAACTGGATATTTTTTAAAACTTATTCTCTGTCATTTTTTTATAAAGACTGGCATTAGTGGGGACAAAGAATATTCACATTTTCGATAACTTCTTCCCCATCGGGTTCTACAGTTATATGCATCTACTGTTAATAACAATATTGATGTTGTAAATAGCATTGAATCAGTAATACCAATAGACAAGAGTTTGGAAGTGGCCTTCGACAGCGTTGACTGCCAAGTCATTTGGAAACTACTTTAACACTATGAAGTGCAGTGCCGCAAATCTTTATCAACCTCATTCACCAGCTGCATGATGATGGGATGTGCTAGGTGATTCACTACGGAAACCTGAAGGAAGTCTTTGAAGTGGATAGAGATTATGCACGGTAGTGAGAAGGTGGGAATACATTGAATCAATAAGACGACTCCAGAAGATCTGGATTTCCCGTGTGAATGATTTATGTTTAGTGTCACACACACTCGAAGACTTGCAGGCGAAAACCAACAAGTTGTCAGTAGGGGCACGAAGCGAAGACGGGACTTCAAATGAACATATGGAAGACAGAGGTGATGAGGATAACCGAGAAACGGCACCAGTCACTATCGACGGGAGAAATGTGAGAGAGAGGTTACTTCCTTCACTTATCTAAGAACCATTGTTTCAAATGCAGTCGGAAGGGATGATGTCAAAGTCAGAATCAGAAAGGCAAGATACGCCTTCATCAACGTGAAACCACAGTTCGGAATTCTGCACTCAATCAGCCAGCATAAAGAACAAGATTTGGATTTTCAACACAAATGTGAAGTCAGTCAGTCAATTCTTCCCTATGGGTCATAAACTTGACCAGCGTGTCACGAAAGGGATTTCCAACAGGCTACTTCAGACTTTTATGTCAAGAGTGCGAAACTGATAAAAAGTTCAAAACTAGGCCGAGACAACTGTTCAATGCCCCATGGTTTTCAATTTCATGAAGCAGTACTAGTTAAAGATTGAGCAATTGGATGGAAGAGAGAGAGTGTAAAGAAATCCAGTTGCCAAGTCAAAATCAGGTTCCAGGCGTTTGATAGTTATTGCTATGACAAACTTGGGGAGAATTGAGTTTTTTTGCCTATTGATTATTCTAAAGGATTTCGCGATGTTCTGGCAGTAGCACTGCTGTACACGTTTTTTTTCTGTTGGCATATAGACGTTTTGGCACATGTTCTTCATAGTTTTAGACGCTTCAGCAGTTTACACACCCACCCATCCTATCAGGGTTCAAAACTGGCACCTCCAGTTGACCAGTGAAGTACGTTGACGATTCAACCGCTGGACACATTCACGCTTGATTTGATTTTTGTTCTTCCGCCTTCCTCAGGTAGCCGGTGAGAATTTCGCTTATTTGAATTACTCAACTATCTGAGTTGTTGTTGATGTGCTCTGTCCTTAATTGTGGTAGTCTGGCTTTATTGGCTTAAGCACTTTGCATTTAGTCATTTTCTTGGTAGTGTCACCAGCCTTCATGCATAATAAGCGTAGGTCATTATCTGCTGCATGAAATATGTGATTCATCAAATAATCGAGCAAAGAATATTCTTTTCGATAAATTTCTCTTCTGGCTCTACAATAACACACATATATGTGTTTATATACATAGAATATTCTAGAATAGTAGTCAATAACAATATTAGTGTTTTTTAAATAATATCGATTTGTAAAGTAAGATCACAATGGAATCACCACAGTTCACTAAAGATGCTTAAATTATAATAATAATAATAAAGATATAATAACAAATAGAATATCAACTAAAATTAGGGAAATTCCACAAAAATTCATGATCATTCAAACCTAGATGGCCAAGCGGTAGGGATAATGTCTGAACTAACTTCTTTTAGACGCACAAATTAGGCTAGTTAATATGGATCCCGACGGCCAGCCTCAGCAACATTTAGTAGACGTTATCTTAGGGCAAAGTTAAGATTTGTTGGTATGCGGTAAATGACCCTGAAAACATGGTTAACGTCAATCTTGTGTTCTGCATCTACAAGATGAGAAAGAATAAAGCTGCGAATAGATTTTGTTTGTCCTTTGCTTAACCACATAGGGTGATGTTGGGAAATTCGAGAAACATCCCAAATTGTACGGACTATGTAACCACTCCTGTGGAGCAGTTAAATTGGTAACTGGTAAATTGGTAACTATTCGTAGCGCTATTCTATCTCATCTTGTGGATACAGAACAAAAGATTGATGTCAACGTTGTTGCTCTCAGGGTCATTTACCGCATACCTACGAATCTCAATTTCGCCTTAAGAGTTCGACTACTAAATATTGCTGAGGCTTGCCGTCGGGATCCATATTAACTAGCCTAATTTGTGCGTCTAAAAGAAGTTAGTTCAGACATTATCCCTACCGCTTGGCCATCTAGGTTTGAATGATCCTGGAATTTTGTGGAATTTCCCTAATTTTAGTTGATATTCTATTTGTTATTATATCTTTATTATTATTATTATTATTTAAGTATCATTAATGAACTGTAATTCCATTATGATCTTACTTAGCAAATCGATATTATTTAAAAAACACTAATATGGTTACTGACTACTAATCTAGAAGATTCTATGTATATAAACATACATCTATAATTGTAGAGCCGGAAGAGGAATTTATCGAAAAGAATATTCTTTGCTCAATTATTTTGTGTTTTATAGATGTCTGAATGAATATTTTTGCTATATGTGATTCAGTTAACGTGGTTTATTCAAAAATAAACTCCGAAACTGGTGAAAATTCTCTCCAACTTTTTGATTCGGTTTTGGGAGAATAGTAGTAGTTTTAGCGGTTTAAGATGCGCTACCTACTGCTTATATCAGTTCGCGTGTACCGGTTTTTATCTACAAAAAATTTATGTTTTATATCATGTGAATGAATCTCTTAAGGTGGTGGTGGTGGTGGTGGTGTATTTAAAAGGTTTAACATCAATGGGTAGTTGTCATGTGTGTTATGTAATCGTCACGGGAATTATTACAAATTAGGTAGTTTCATCACATGATTTCATTGTGATTAATCTGAAGCGCGTGCGTGCGTGTATTTCAGTGCGAAATCCAAAATAAAACTCTATTTTTGATCAGTTACCTCCTAGTGGGTGGTGGGTGTTTATTTAGCTACACTACTCAATGCATGATATGTATATACTACTTATTAATTGACATCTCATTAAAATGATGTAAACACACTGGAGGGCCGTTTCACTTGTTTTGGCGCTCAGAGCTTGTCAGTTATGTGCCCCGTTTAATGCAATTCAGAAAGAGTGTCACAGTGTCAGTTCAAACCACATGAATTCTGGCGTAGTTGCTTTTGCGTGAACTGGTAATGCGTTAAGTCAAGTACTCACGATTTGAAATTTACATATAGTGTTCCGACTGAAATTTCACCCCAGTTGCCTTCACAGAAACTGAAGTTATTCAGATAGCACATTTCATTGTGGTCTGCCTGATACCGCATGTAAAAGATTGCGAATTTCATTTAACACATTTATGAGTTCGCCTTAGCGCAGCTAGCCAGAATTCGGGTGATATGACGCCGGCATACTTACCGGCGTCCAACAATGGTTATGAATCTTATCCATAATGGAGACAGACTGGCTGACAGTCATCTTATACATCGCTAATTGATACAAGCTAGAATTCATGAGTGTTGGCAAGTGGATCCCATCCCCAATGATGACTGGTCAATGAGTTCTTGTCATAACTGGAAGGTCGAGTTGTCAGTACTTACTACTGAAGAGTCTCGAAGAGGAGTGAAACAAGTTGTCCAGTAATCTCCGGTTTATCAGTGATTGCTCTAAATGATGTTCGTTTGTAACGAAATCTAATCGAAATCTCCACAAATCTCACAGTCTTCAGGTTGGTGATGGCTACTGAATACATATCTTGAAGCTGTCCTGCAAAGCATTGTGGCCACTGGGGATGTCCACGACGTATTAAAGACGAAGTGGATGTTCGTCGACGGCACTGATTGAGAAGAGTAGAGCAATATCACACATCACAAATTGATAAAAGTTAGAATTCACAGGTTATCCTAAGCTGTGAAAGGTTCTGACTTCGATTCTTTGATGGGTGTCATGGTGTCATGGATGTTTCATGAGTACTTCTAAAGAATCCAAAACTTACGAGAGGAAACCGACGTCAAGTACTTCCTGCCTTTAGGATTTTTCAGTGGTTCTCTAACTGGTATCAATACTGTGGTCGAACATTACTCTCTCTTTTTCTCATCTTCTCTGTGTTTTTCATTAACTCTTTAATAGTTGTTTATTTATGTGTGTGTAAGCATCTTTGAATACATAAATATTTTCTCTTCAATATACACCCATAAGGTAGTCATCGGTTGTTTGATTGACAGACTTATCGATCGATTGATCGATTTATTGATTGATTGATGGCTTAAGGTGGTTACTAATCTTGACAATTCTTCACAATACACACAATATTCTTGTACTCTTCTTTGTAGGAGTTATAATACAGATGATTATTTATAAACAACTGTTTATTTATTTAATTATTTGTGTATTGATTCGTTTAAATGTTGGTTGGTTGGTTGGCTTGGTTAATTAAGTAATTAATTGGTTCAACTGATTATCGATTTTCTCTTCTCCGGTTGTTGTTTCTGTTCTTTTCTTTCTCTCTCTCTCTCTATCTCTTCTAATCAAATTCTTTAATTATTGAGAAATATATAAAATGTTTATAAACACATATTGAAATGGTTTTTTTAAGAAATTTTTTTAGTACACAGGGGTCTTTTGTTATATTATATATGTATATGTTGTATTATACATTACTTGAGTACTATTGGTCTGTTCATTCTATAGGCATACGCCTACATACCTACAAACACTCACTCACACACGCGCATACAAACAAATATACGTACACCTACTAAGTAACTAACTAACAAACCACTGTATGCTTTAACTAAACAAAGTATTGCGTTTTTTGTGTTTTTCTTTCTCGCTTCTCTTCTGCATTGGCGGCTTTATCTTCGTCTTCGCCTTCCGTGTTATTTTGATGTCCAGTTGATGTCATCTCGTCTTGGCGGTGTCAGTGGTCTAAGCAGTATGAGTAGTGCTAGTAGTAGTGATCATGGAGGAGCGGCAGCAGCAACAGCAGGGGGAGTAGGAGTGGCAAGCGGTGGATTAATCGATTATGAAGATCGAGTAAGTGTAAATATTTTGTCTGTGTTTTTGTTTGAGCAAACTTTTTATGTCACTGACTTATTTCACCTGATAACTTTGTACTATTTATGGTTAGTTATGTATGATGTTGACCTTGACATTAAAGAATCGATATTTGTGAGTTGAGTGTTTTGAAGCACTAGGGGGGTTTGTAAGCATTTAACTCTGTGATCACATAAATGACATAAAGTAGGTAGGGTAACCATATTATTTTTATTATTGATCCTTTGGGTTCCGAGTGGAACCTAGGACTTCAACATCATATCTCCATTTCATCCTATTTTCTGTAGCCCATAAGCTTTTGCCTCCTCGTCACACGACATCTTCCATATCATACTCAAAGTGACACACATCTCAGCGTTTCTCATTCGGGTTCAGCTTCGAGGTGTGCATGGCGCGTAATGTCACTCAACGGTCTTTTCAGCGCATTTTAATTGTCTTCGGCATATTTGTTGGATGACAGTTTCTTTGTTGGTTTTTTGTTAATTCTTTCCAGTCGGTCATCTGATCTACAACTGTTGATATAAGTCTGCATGTCTGTGCGTCGGTAGCACACAGGTTAGGACTCTCGCCGACCATCCACATGGTCTGGGGTTCGAATCCCTGCCGACGCATACTTGATATCTATGGTCGGCCTGCAAAATTTGGGCTACCGATATCACATGCTGAATTCCATACTTGTACTGAAAATACGGTGTGGAATCAATCTATAATAAAAAAAAGTTGTTTCAAATGTTTTTATTGACGCATGCACCGAAATTATGAACACTATCGAAGCATTGATTGATTTGATTTTAGTATTGAAAATCCGAATCTTGTTTCTTATGCTGAGCAGAATAGATTCCCACACTGATTTTAAGATTGAGGAGGGCCTGTCTTGCTTTTGCAATCCCGACTGACTTTGGTATCCTCATTCATGCCACGTGTAGTTGAAAATAAGCTGTCTAGAAAAGTGGAAGCACTGAATCGCCTTAAATTTCTCCCGTTGATACTGATTGGTGCTTGCGTAATTGGTCATCTTCATCACCTCTGTCTTCTTGTCTATAATGTTCACTTGAAGTTCTCTGTTTTGCCGCTTCTTCTGCCAACATGTTGACTTTCGCTCGTAGATCTTTGAGTCTGTTGAACATTGTCCATGAAGTGCAGATCTTCTAGAGTCCTTTTGTCGTCCCAGTGTATACTCTTCTTCTTTCTCACTCTCTCCACAGTCTACCGCTTGATCTAGTCCACCACAATCTAGGATGTCGTCGGTGATATTAGGCAGTCTTATCTTACTCCTGTATTCACTACCACAGGCTTCACTGAGTGTTCTATTATGCATCACGTGACATATGACATTGTCATATGACGGACTGTCGAATGAGACTGGTATAGGTTTGCTTCTTCCCTAATAATCTTGGTGCACTAACTGATAGAGACTTTATAAGTAATGCAATGAAAATAGCTTTTTAAAAAGACACGAGTCATCAGCAAGGAAAATATTGTTTTCGTCAATCCACTTCAAAACTGTTCTTCTTAAAGGTTGTGGGAACACCGATAAAGGTGAATCGTTAATATCAGTCGGTGGAGATAAAGCAAATATGACCAACGGGCACGTATACGTCAAGATTGTATGGCTTACCTAAAGTGCATAAACCGGGGTACTGTTAAGACCAGTACTTGAAATGCAAAATTCTCCCTACCATGCTCTAGCTTGCATGAGCAGTTAGTGAAATGTAGCGTCAAAGATGTATTTGAATTCGTAGACAAAGTCAAAGATATTAATTTCAAGGACAAAACAATGATATCTCTGGACATAACATCTTTATTCACAAATGTACCTCTAGTAGAAACAGTTAACTACATATGTGAAGAAGTGTATAACCAGTCGATAAATCCTGGCATCACAACGGAAATCCTAAGAGAATTGTAATTGAGGTGTACGATGAATGTAAATTTCAAATTTGACGACACACTTTACAGGCAAGTGGACGGGGTGGCGATGGGCTCCCCATTGGGTCCCATTTTGGCTAATTTCTTTCTAAGTAAGCTAGAAAATGGACCTCTGAACAACCTTATCAGTAAGTTCTCATTCTATTGCCGGTATATGGATGACACCTTCATTCTTTGTCATAATGATTCGGATATGAGTACAATAATTACTGAATGCAATGAAGTACATTCGCCTATGAAATTCACGTGCGAAGAGGAATCCCAAAACAGAATTGCCTTCATGGATGTCCTCCTTACAAGAAAACCAGATGGTAGCATAAAAAGAAATTTGCATAGAAAAAGTACATGGACAGGACAGTATACACATTTTCACAATTTCGTTCCTCTCAAGTACAAAAGAAATTTAGTGACTACCGATTTAACATCAGTGTTAAAAATACGAATCTTGATCCTTATGCTCTACCGTAGTAGATTTCGCCAGTAATTTCAGATAATTGAAGGTCTGTCTTACCTACCCGGACATGGATTTTATATTTTCATCCGTACCGCTTGTAGATGCAAACGGTGTTGCTCAAATAAGTGAAAGAAGTACCTTTTTCCAAACTTCTCCTGTTTGCGGCTTATATCGCAGAGATTTTTTTCCAGATTGTTTAACCCAGGTGGATCCGTTATTCTGGATTTAGCTAAATTCTGACCCCGATCTACTAGATTGACACATACATAATTGTGGAATTGGGTTAGTTGGATCCTCGAATCAACGTTTTGTGTGATGAAGGCTAAATGATAATGGCATAGTGGGGCTGTTGTTCACTGGTTTTGATGCCCGACTTACAAACAAGTAGCACACGGGTTTGCATCCCTCTCCACTTGCCAAAACATAACCAGCTAGGCGGTATCACTAGCCCTCATACACAATACGTGTGGTTCATTCCCAAGTCGTATAAAGAAATGACGACGACATGAATTGACTAAATGACTGACTGACTGACACTGACTGGTTTCAACGTAGAACTTTGCACAGATGTGCAACATTCTGAGTTTTCACTCTCCCTCTATATAGCATACAAAGCAAGAGGAGTAAGCAAAGAGAAATTCAAAAGGGAGAGATATGATAAACAGAAGTGTGAAGCAAAAAGAATGGTACTATGGAAGAACAATATATATAGATCACAGGGAGTGAATGCATCTCCGCCAGCAACCATTGAGAATGATTTTGAGCCATATCACCGTTTGTCTCTAGCCTTCATTGGTTCTTACCGTCCAGAAGACCCCAACCACTTAGGCCGGAGGTCTACATCTGCTTACGTGGCTTAAAATAACTGTTGTGGATTTCATTGACTGGTGAATTCATGTTTTCTTTCGACCCACTGGTGGTTAGCTATTTTTCAACCTGATCTATCCTATGTCAGCCAAAATTGTCCGTCGAGGAAGGCGATGGTTCGGATAGGAATGCGTAACACATGTCCTAACGATTTCTTTTAATCGGCGTAACTTCACAGCCTTGTCGATTGATTTCCCCTCCAACTCACCTAGCACTCGATCGAAGCCTAACCTCAATATTGCTCACCTTATTATACCAATTCAAACGGGAGATAGAATGCAGGCACCTATCATCAAAGACAGCTATACGGTCTTTTTATGTCTTCCACTTTCAATGGCGGCCATATCTCACTCACAGCCATAAAGGAGGAGGACAGACCTATTGTTCTCTGTAAAATATGTATGATTCCATTCACACCAAGAATCACATCAAAAATTCAAAATTACCTCAACAGTACCGTTTGAAAACCATTCAGGCTAGATAAGTTTCCTAGTACTAAACAAGTACTGTATAACAAAATTAGTTAACCAAACACCGGAGCGAAGACAAGTAATAAGGATCGTACCAACATATATGATATGCAAATGTGAGAACAGTGATACACAGTCTAGGATTTAGATCGTTTTGGTGGAGGGGGGTGATTTCCCAAACAATTATTCCGTCACGCACAAGATGCCCTAAAAGACACTTAGGTTTCGTGCTTGTTACCACTCGCCAGTAAATGTATATTTGAAACCTTGAGGGAATGGATGCCCCCTTTGGAGATTCGGATCTGCATTACCTAATGCTACATACAGTCATAGAACATGTAATATCACTGCAAAGTACATTGCGATAATAAGTGACATAGCTTAATGTGACCTCATTGCTAAGTGGATTGATGGATTTTTATTCAGCACCAATCCTATTAGGGAGTAGACACATGACACTGGTTGCCTTCCCCTCGCCGCCTATCGCCCCCCGTCAACAACCAATCAATGTAACTGGTAGTTGTATTGAGGGATTAGCCATGTAGAATAATGCTTCCTGCAGTGTAACTTTTGCACTAACCTGTAATCTGAAATTCATACTTATACAGCGCAAATGGTTTACACCATACAAAAAGACATACATATAATTGGTTGGAGGGTTTCATCATCAGCTGACATCAGTTAGAGAACCATCAGGAAACTTGAGAGCACTGGATGGCCGTTTCGTCAGCCTAGTTTGGGACTCCACCTCATGCGTACGCACCCACTGACAGGGTTTGAACCCGGGAGCTGGTTAAAAGGCGAGCTCGTGCACCATTAAGTCACCGATCCAATGACCAGTCCATGAATTCTAATTTCTATCTCATCGCGAAATGGTCACACTATGTGGGGAATTGGCAGAAGTTAGAATTCATGGACTGTCCATTGGATCAGGTCCCAATGACTTAATGGTGTACGTGATCGCCTTGTAACCAGAAGCTGCTAGGTTCAAACCCTGGGGCTGGGTGCGTACTGATGAAGAATCGCAAACTAGGCTGATGAAACAGCTGGCTGTCAAGTACTCCCTGTTGGTTTTCCAATGGTCCTCTAACTGATGTCATTTCATGATGAAACCCTCCAACCAATCAAACACAATCCCTACAAAAACCAATACTTGAACATTCATATTAAATTAAAGTAATTGGTTAGTCGTTGTCACGCGTAGAGGAGCATAATTGAGAAAAATAAATTGGAATATTACTTACTTTGTTATGACTACTTGTAATTGTTCAATTGAAGAGTATAGAAGGCGATATAAAAGTGAACATAACATATTGGTTCATGTTAAATTGTTAGTGCGACAGCCAGGACACTATCCAGTCTACCAGACCGATGCAGGTAAATGTCTTCAGGGACCACTTCTAGGGCCTTTTACTTGAAGTCTCATCTATAAGACAGTAGAACACCGTCAGGAGCTGCATTCCGACGGTTTCTGGTGTCCAACACAGGTCTTTTTTTCGATTCTGGAGTCTATGTACCCAATAGTAACTGCTTTTAGTCTAACTGCTAACCAAACAACCTTCATGGCATGGTAGAATCTGTAAGGACATAATTTCCAGTCAGTGTAGCCTGTTGGGTCGCTGAAGTATGCAATCCCGCAGCCACCACTGCATCCGGTCGGGATTCATGTAGATATCAAGTGGTTAAGTGCATATATTTCTGTGTCTGATTAAGTATCAGGTCGTCATCCACGCATCCACAGGTTTGTAAACCAGTTGGTTCGCATTTTTATGTATATCTTTTAAATAAGCAGTGATATTATAAGCGATCAATTGTTTCCACAGTTCACTAACCTCAATGATAAGCAGTGGTAAAACTCCTTCATATAATATTCGTGTTTTCGTTTTTCATTCCTTTGTGTGTTTCGTGTGTTGGGAAATAGGGAGCCTCAAGCTTTTTGAAGATTCAGCTGCGGTGTGGAATTGCCAGCCACCTCATGCTAGCCCAACCCTTCCCTCTTTTCTGGGTTTACTACTTACTGGCTAGTGGAGGGGTACGTCAGCATCCGGGAATCAAAGCCGGATCATGTAATTGGATAGTGAGCCTTCTAGAATATACTTGTACTGTTCCTTAGCTTCCTGTACGGTCATCACAAAACACTACAGGTGTCTTTAAAGAGCATTGATTGAGAGTAGAGCTATATCATAGATTGACGGGAGTTGAAAATCACCAGTCGTAAAGTCCCATCTCAAGCGGCTGAATGGTGAACGACTCTGGTATTGTAACCTTTAAGTCCTGGGCTTGGCCGCTGTTGGAGTTGTGGACGCTCATTAGTGGAGAGTTCGAAATTAGGTCGAAACGGGTAGGCGTCAAGTGCCACATGGTTTTCAGTGATCTCTGACTGATTTGGGCTCGTGATGAAATCTACACAGTAAGAATGATAGAATGTTCGCGAGACACCTGGCATCGGGATGTCCAGGATGGATTCCCGTCTGACACACTCCATGCTGTTGCCTAGCTTACTCTAGTAGCCAGTAATCCTGGAAAAGATGGAAGGTTGAATGTGAGACTAGAAAATCCTCCCCGTAAAATAAAGCATCACCATCTATACTGAAACTTTAAAGTTGAAGATTTGAAGCTGTACTTGAATATCTGTTCTAGTATTCCGTAGGCAAAGGGGAATAATTCGGAAAATTAAATTGGGTTATTACTTTCTTTGTTATGTATATCTGTTTGTCTTTCTGACTAACACCCGACCATCATGAATAGTCCAGCTTATAAATATATATATATATATATATATATATACATATATGGCAATCAAGGATGTTATAGACGAGCGATTGTCCTTTGATTGGACACTAGCCAGTCATTAGTGTGATTCGTCTAGTCCTTTGTTTGGTGCAGACTGAATTCAATCAGTCAAGTTCGCAATGTGGTCACCATACCACTTGGTGGGGCTTGCCATCACAGTACACTTAGAATTGTCGGTGTCAGATGGTTGGAGGCAATCAGTAGGCAGGAAGCCTTGGACATACTTAGGTTACGTGCTAGTTGGCACTCACCAGTCAGCAAGGCGTGCATCTACAACCTTAAAGGAACCCAGGTATCTTTTGAGATTCTAACCCGCATCACCCACAGTTAACCATAAACTCCTTTTTAGAATATGCGTTTGTATTTCGAGAGGAGGAACATAGAGAGCTTGTAGATATGAAGATTCAATGGCAGTGTGTGGGATTACCAGCCACCTTATACTAGCCCAATCCTTTCCTCTTTTCTGTGCTTACTACTGCTACTACTACTACTATTGACTAGGCGAAGTGTTTCTAATAATACAGCCGGGACTGGAGCCAAGACGCTATGCGTGGCTGGTGGTGAGCTTTCTAGAATATTGTGTGTGTTTGCCTCATCTTGTGACATACAATGCTCCTTTTTATTTGTTTTCGTATCCTTTATCCACTTAAATAATATTTTTTTTTATTATATGGTCTATTATTACTTATGCTAATAGCAATATTAATAGTAGTAGAGGCATTGTAATAATAGTCTATTATTGTTGTTGTTTTTTCTTTTGTGCCCTTTCATTTTGTTTCTTTTAGTTGTGTAAAGCAGCTGAACAATACAAAACTTTATTGATTGAAAAGGAACAATTAGCTGAACAGTGTAACGCTTTAAAGATTGAAGTAAGTTGTGTTGTCTTCATTGTTTCCTTCCTTCCTTCCTGTGTGTCTGTTTGTCTCTCCCGCCCCCCACACACTGACACCCAAACATACATACACTTTTGTACTTTTTCTTTTGTGATTGATTACATATGCGTTTGTGTATGTATGAGTTGATTGGTTGCTCGTAGAGGCAGGTGAAGGGGGGTACTTTACACATAAAAATGTTCAAGTTCAAATTGTCGTATCTCATAAAAGTACATAGAAATAAGGGTAGAGAAAAAAATGCAGTAAAAACTCCTTAAAAACCTGTAATAAACACAAATTATTCCAGGATTTCACTGTGAATTGACAACTGTCAAAAGATCATTGGAATACAAGCTGGGAGCACTGGATAGAAGTGGGAGACCAACCTTGTGTACCTTTGGTAGACCATAAAGTCTTGGTATTACTGAACCTGTTGGCCGGATCTGGTCGTAAATATCCCCACTGATTAGTTGACTGGCCTTCATTCTCTTCAAGACGTCTGTGAGCTGCTTCTCAATGTGTTCCGTCTTGTTTCTTTCATTGGAAGCTTGGGAAAATTTATCTTCATTCGACAGTATATCGTGATTTAGCACGATCATTAATGCATGTCATCGCTGGCGAGTATTTGTCCTCACACCCGACCTGCTGTACCCTACTGGTCACGACTTCCCGCTAGAATCCAAGTGATTAGCTACGTGAATAGGGCCAGTCACTAGTGAGCATCTCATTGATAATCAAGTGTTGGTTCTAGTGGGAATTCGTGATCAGTGGTGTACATCAGGTCGGGTTTGAGGACAAATACTCTCCACCGATGACATTCGCTAGTGGTCGTGCCATATCATGAATTGGAAGGAGTTAGGATTTACGGGCCTGGCCATTGGATCGGGTCCCACTAACTTAATGATCCACGAGCTCGTCTTGTAATCAGAAGGTCCTGAGTTGGAACCTTAGTGGGTGCTTACTGATGAGGAGTCCTTAGGAGTGCTGGTTTTCCAATGGTCGGCATATCCCCGTCAACTTACGCCATCTCTGGCTTAGTAGACGTGATATCCTGCTGGCTGACTGGCTGTCAACCAAAGGACGTGTGTACTGCTCAGTAGTTCGCTCCATCCTCCCGTATGGCTGGCTGGGAGACTTGGTCACTGGAAGTGGGAGACATGAAAAGACCGGCTAGCTGTTTTTCATCATAGGTGTCTGCATTCTATCGGCTGTGTGCGTCATGTGGTATAATAGGTTGAGCAATATTGAGGTTAGGCATCGGTCGAGTGCTAGGTGAGTTGGAGGGGAAATCAATCGATGAGGTTGTGAAGTTACGCCTATTAAGAGATATCGTTAGGACATGTGTTACACATGCATGCCTAGCCATCGCCTTCCTCGACGGATGATGTTAGCTGACGTAGGATATATCAGGTTGGAAAAGAGCCAGCGGTGTTGGTGGTCAAACGGAAACATGGCTTCACCAGTCAATTAAATCCACATTAATTAGTTTAAACCAGCCACGTAGGAAGGTGTAGACTTCCTGCCTACGTGGTTGGGATCCTCGGGGTGGGAAAACCAGTAAGGGCTGAAGACAACTGGTGATATGACTCAAAATAGTTCTCAGTGATGGCTGGCGCAGATGAATCTACTCCTTATGACTCATAATACCTAATAAAACTACATTGTTCTTCGATATTACTATTCTTCTGGCCTCATATCTCTGTTTACTATCACTATTTGGCATTTCTTTTTACTTTCTTCTCTTGCTTTGTGTCCTACAGAGGAGAGAGTGTGGCGACTGGAACTGCTGCACATCGGTGCAAAGTTCTATGTTGAAACCAGTTAGTCAGTCAGTCAGTCTCTTATGTTTATTCACGATAAATAACTTTATAAAATTCTTTGTGATTTCAACTGTTGTTCGCTATTTACTTCTTCACTCAATTGATTTTCTCTTTCTGACCGCATATTATTTATAATATTGATTATTACTATTATTATTCTGATTTGACACGATAAGAACTTCTCTTTGTTCAATCTTCTACCTATAGAGTAAGTCAGAAAAGTACAAACAAAGATATCTTTATTGACACAGATCATGTGATCTGATTGCTATGGTAAATGCGAGGTTTGTGATTACAGAGAACCGTCGTGATTATTGATTTAACCAAGCCTAGTACAGCCTTAATGTATCTATGTATTAATGAAGATATAGAGAATCAAAAGTAAATAATTGTTTTATACGGAGCACTTATGTGAATTTAATTGATGGATAGTGAATACCAGTGGAATCCAGGATAACGCGCATTTCGTTCTATTTTTGGGACTTGTCTGGCAGCTGGATGTACCTACCTGCATTCCCCAGTGAGTGAGTGATGATGTTCCTACCACCAAGACTCGGACCCAGTGCCCATAGTTTCAAACGCCAAAGCGTCATGCACTTGGGCCACGAGAGCCACCACCTCTTGTGCAACGGTTCATATTAATTATTAAATTGAATTTTAGATTTTTCCGTCGATTGATTGGAAGCTGACATGTCAACCTGAGACCGAGCACTTTGGTCCAATCAATCGACGGGAAAGTCTAAAATTCAATTAAATAATTTATGTGAATTGTTTCGGCATTATGGCCCATTTTGAATAGATTTAAATAAAGCCATTTATTACTGCAGGTGTGCTGACGACACGTTTGTAGTGTGCAATAATATGTGATGACGCACCAACTGTGTTTGAAAAACTCAATGCGACTCATCCTCACATGGCATTTACAATAAATTATGAACGTGATAATCAGTTCCATTTTCTAGATCACCATTTCTTCTTTATTATACGTGGGTATAATAAAGAAGAAATGAAAGGACAGTCGAAAAATTCATCTCTATAGGATAAACTTGTACTGGTCAATACCTGAATTGGTTGGAGGATTTCATCATGAGCGCTGGTATCAGTTAGAGAACCATTGGGAAACCAGTACTAGAGTACTGAACAGCCAGCTGTTTCATCAACCTAGTTTGGGACTCTTTATCAGTACACACCCACACTGCGGAGTTCGAACCCAGGACCTTCTGGGTTACATGGCAAGCGAGCTCGTAGATTACTAAGCCACTGGGACCCGATCCAATGGCCAGCCAGCCAGTCCATGAATTCTAACCTCTGCCAATTCACGGCATAGAGCGGTCACTTCATAATGTCTTCTTCGTCGATGAGTTACTGCCTCACCTTCAACCTGCTGTACCCTACTGGTCACGGCTCCCCAGAAGGTCCTGAGTTCGAACCCCAGTGGTTGCGTACTGATGAAGAGTCCCAAACTAGGTTGACGAAACAGCTGGCTGTCCAGTACTCTCAGCTGGTTTTCCAATGGTTCTCTCACTGATGTCAGCTCATGATGAAATCCTCCAACCAATTCATGAGGCATTGGATTCTACCTCAACGGATGAATGAGTGGTCAACGTGGTTGCCTGGTAGACTGAAGTTCCTGGGTTTGATCCACAGTGTGGTGATGGGTAGGTGTCCGTTCTTGAAGGATCGCACATTAGGATGTAGCGGCTGGTTTCTAGTAGTCCTCTAAATGACGTCAGTCTGTGATCTAACTGAGATTGTGTACAGTTTATGATTTGTTTGGAAGCAATTCACTACCTTCGAGTCGACATCTTCAATTTTGTAGATGAATGTTTCCACGACTTCATATCTGACTTGTGAGAAAGAAATTGTGACCAATTTCTATTCCGTACCTTTTTGTGAGTAACTCTTAATCGATTCATGAGGTGTCCAACAACTTCGCAGACCAGTTTCACGATATTTTTATATTTTGTATAGTTTGGTTTGTAAGGGTTAATTATGGTTTTACCAGTTGATCACGGATTGATATCAGTTAGAGAACCACTAAAAACCAGGGAGTACTAGACAGCTGCTGTTTCGTCCTAGTTTGGGAATCATCGGCAGTACGCACCCACTGCACTGAGGTTCGAATCCAGGACCTTCCGGTTACAAGGCTAGCGAGCTCGTATACCCTTCAGCCACTGGAGCTCGACTCAATGGCTACTGCATGAATTCTAACTTCCGCCAATTCGTGATTTAGCGCGACCCCAACCATTGTCGTCGGTGGGACATCCATCCTCACATGTGACATCTGGATGAAACTCACTGGTCACAACTTCTCACTAGAACTCCAGGGAACTCCATCCTGTAGTAAGTCACCAGCGAGCATCAGATTAATTTTGTTTAGTTTGGTTCGTAAAAACATAAGTAACCCAAAGAGTCCCAAACTAGTTTGACGAAACGGCTGGCTGTCCAGTACTCCCTGGTTTTCAATGGTTCTCTAACTGATATCAATCCGTGATCAACTCGTAAAAATATTTTTATATGTTATGACCTGTCGAGAAAATGTTTTGAATACTAGTTTGCTAAGGATGTTCTATTTGTAAAAATGGTTTTCAAGAATTAGTTAGTTTGTAGGTATCCATCACCCTAATGAGGATCAAACCGAAGACCCTTAGTCTACGAGGAAATTCTGCCGTTGTGACGGGATCTCTAATGATTCATGAATTCTATCTCCCACCAGCTGGGATATGAAGACAAGCACTTGCCGATAAGAATAGTTGGCTGTTGAGCTGTATGCCACAAATTGGTGGAAGCCGAAATTCATAAGTTTTATCGTATTATTCTCAAGTGACTTGATCTCGTCACTTGGGGATATCGGGTTATACGTGGTATTGTTAAACAGTGCCAAAGTAGGTTGAAGCAGTCATCCAGCACTCCATGGTGTATCCAATACTTTTCGAATTTGAAAGCAATCAAAATGTCTGAATAAACCAACGCGTGAGAAAAGTATTCGTCTGAGACCCTATCAGCAGTGGAGCAAGGAGTCGGTCGACCATTTAGCCACTGGTGCGGAATCCGATATCACGTGAATTAGAACTTTTGTCAGTTTGTGATTTGTAGCGCCACTTTTAGTCAATGTCTTTTCTTCTCACACCGGAATATTGGTTTGCCTTTGTAGTCACGAGTTCTGTATAGTATTCCCTGGTTTTCAGTGGCTCTCTAACGGATGCCGAATACAGAGGGCTAGTTTCGCATATGCCTGCCAGTTTACGCCGTCTCTGACGTAGACGTGATATCCGATTATCAACCAAAGGGTGTGTGTACTGCTCATCAGTCCGCTCCGTCCTCTTTTATGGCTAGCTGTGAGACCTGGCCATTGAGAGTGGAAGACATGAAAAGATTAGCTGTGTTCGATCATAGGTGCCTGTGTTCTATCTCCCGTGTGAAGTGGTATAATAAGGTGAACAATATTGAGGTTAGGCGTCGAGTGCTAGGTAAGGAGGGGAAATCAGTCGACGAGACTGTGAAATTACATCGACTGAGATGCTTAGGACATGTGTTGCGTATGCCTGCCTAGTCATCGCCTTCCTCGACAATGGGCAATGTTAGCTGATATAGGGTCAGTCTGGAAAAGAGCTAGCCAGCGGCGGTCAAACCAATACATGGCTTCACCAGTCAGTGAAATCCACAACAGTTAGTTTAAACCAGCCACATATGAAGGTGTAGGCTTCCTGGTTGGGGTCCTCGGGATGGTAAAAACCAATGGTTGGAAACAATTGGTGACATGGCTCAAAATTGTTCTCAATGGCTGGTGCAGATGCATCCACTACTTGTGACTTGTGATTTCCAGTTAAACTGTTTTGTTCTTCGTTATTACTATTCCTTTTGTCTCATATCCCTGTCTACTGTTTCTATTATGCATTTCTTCTACTTTCTTCCCTTGCTTTGTGTGCTACATGGAGTGAGTGTGGCGACTTGAACTGCCGCACATATGTGCAAAGTTCTATGTCGAAAACCGACCGGATGCCGATCCGTCATCAAACTTGAAACCGATGAAATCCTTACAAAGCCACATTTGAATATTAACGTGATGCTCACTGGTGCCTAAATTCCGGACAAAGTTGCTTAGGATTCTAGTGAGAAATTTTGACTGGTGTGTAGGTAGGATCTACCAAGTTGGGGTTTGAGGACAGCCATACTAGCCGGATCGTGGAGCTGTCTGTATATGGGTGAATTGCCAGCCATCCTAGTTCGATTCCTGGTAGGATAATGAGTGCGCGTACCGATGACGAGTCTCAAGCAAGGACGAAACAGCTGTCCAGTGCTTTCTAGTGATTTTCAATGATTCTCACACTGGTTTCGGTTCTATGGAATCCCTGTAAACCAACATTTGAAGATAATCACTTCAATAGATGATAGTTATTTTAGGTAGCCTCATCAACATATAGAGCATTAACCTTTTTTTTCCTTCCTTTTTGTCTCTCTATTCAGGTATTCAATTTACAAGAGGAGAAATCAACTCTACAATCAGAATTAAATCAGCTGAAAGTCCAGTTGAATTCATTGGGTTACAACCATCAATTATTGACAACAGAATCATCATTGTCAACAACAACGATAACTCCATCACAATCACAATCAACACCTTCCTCCATAGAACCACTTCCGATTACTTTGAATCCTATAGATACAAATCAAATGTTATTATGAGTCCAACGATAGCTAATGTCCGTATTGGTCATTTACAAAATCAACTATCAAAATTACGTGATGAATTATACAGAACTGAATGCGGTAAGATATTCAATATTTTGTGTGTGTTTTTCCTTTTCAAGTGATGACACATGGCGATTTAATTAGCTACAAGTTTGATTACAAGTTGATATCATTTGGAAAACAGCCAGGGAGTATTGGACAAGTGCTTCGTCCTAGTGTGTGACTCATCGGAAGTAGGCACCTACCATGAGTCATTGAATCGGGTCCCACTGGCTGAATGGTCTACAAGCATGCCTTGTAACTAGAAGGTCATGGATTGGAGTCCCGTTGCGTGCGTATTGCTTTCCGAAGAGTTCTGAAGTATTTCTTGGTTAGTTTTCTTGTCGCCTAATTTTAAGTAGATGCTAGAACGTGCTTTTCTCCACCTATTTGAAACTCATCTGTCCTTTCACAAATTTGCCTCATCTCAGACTTTAGAATAATGAATGTGGACTTATTTGAATTGTTTCTGCATCAGACATTTAATTGTCTCTCTCTTTGATGATCTTGGTTGAGATTGGTTGTTAAATTGCGTTGGTAGTGATTAGTTTTTTTAAAATTCCTTCACGTTCCCAGTGGAACATAGGGCTTCAAGCTAGAGCCAGCTTGAAGTTTCTGTAGCAGTGGTGTTTACTTTTACAAGATGGGCTTGCTAGCCTCATGCCCAACCTTCCCTCTTTGGCAGTTCTATTACTGGCTTAGCGACGTAAAGGAGGGAGTCTGCTGGGTGGGGTTCGAACCCCCAACCATGTGCATGATAGGCGAGCGTCCTAACAGTTGTGCCACTGAGTTGAAGTTTGACTTTCAATTTATGATCACAGGGTTTCAGTGCGTGTGTGTGTTTGGGGGGGTGTTCCTCACAAAAGCGAAAGGGTAAAGAATGCCAACGTCTGCTGATTGCAACTGAACTCGTAGACTTGCAGATCTACGTAGTAGGGGAGTTGGAAAACTCTTGTCCCGAACCTACGGTGACGTATGGATCTATTTTGAACACCGGGAAGCATGGGAAGGTGGCTTCTGACTCTGCTGCACTGCCTTATGAATGAGATTTACAGTTAACTGCTTGGAGCTTGGACCCTTGAGACAACCACCTGCTTTGGTTTTGGTTTCCAAGCACAAACTATAAGATTTTGTGTTTGGTGGATCTCTTGTGGCCTATAATTTACCAAGTTTGTGCATTTGAGAAATAAATAATGAACGTAGATTCACTTTAGTACCAGTCTACTAGGGGAATGCTGTGGGGACAAATACTCGCCGAAGACATTGGCTAGTGGTTGCGCCAAATCATGAATTGGCAGAAGTTAGAATTCATGGATCGGGTCTCAGTGGCTTAATGGTCTACGAGCTCACTAGCCTTGTCACCGGAAGGTCCTGGGTTCGAACCCCGCAGTGTAGGTGCGTATTGATGAAGAGTCCCAAACTAGGCTGATGAAACAGCTGTCCAGTACTCGTAGCTGGTTTTCTAATGGTTCTCTAACTAGTGTCAGCTCATGATGAAATCTTGTAACCAATCAACCAAATCCCTACAGAAACCAATACTTGAATGCTGTCTTAAGTTTGGCGTTTTCACTACTTTCAAAATCTCTACATTTTCTCAGTCAAATTTGTGTCCATATTTGTCTACATGCATTGGTATAAAAGAATACAACAAGTCATGTCTTTTGACAGCTAGCTAGTTTATATTCTTGAATTCAGTGTCGAAAAGGGCACGCCTACTTTGACCAATATGATTTTTTTTGTCACTATTCATGCAGTTTAGTTTTTGTCTTCTTTTGCTGTCGGGTTGGAATTTTGTCTGTACAGTATTTTATGACTGACTGGTTTGAATATAGAATTTTGCACTGATGTGCAGCAGTTCGAGTTGTGACTCTTCGCCTATGGAGCTCAAAATGCAAGAAAAGGCAGTAAAGGGAGGTTCAAAAGTGAGATAATAAACAGAAGTGTGAGGGAAAAAGGATATTATAAGTCACAAGGAGCGAATTCATCTGCGCCAGACATCACTGAGAACGATGAGTTTGAGCCATATAACCAATCGTCTCCCCAGCCTTCATTGGTTCTTACCATCTTTCGGAAACCCCAACTACGTAGGCAGGAAGCCTATACCTCCCTACCTGGCTGACTGTCTGGCTTGAACTAACTATCGTGGCATCCATTGATTGATGAAGCCATGTCTTGGTTTGACCTTGAAGAAGACATTTCCGGCAGCAACTCTAAGAGTGATATTCTCTAGCTGCCCACTACTTCGGAGCAATGGGAAGGACAGACTTCCGCATATGACCACTTCAATGCGCATATATCAGTTCACCTGCTCTTTCAAAGCTAGGTACATAGGTTGTTCTATGCGGGTCTTATCAAAACGTGTTAGAGAACATCATCCAGCATGGCTGCAAAGAGGAGGCACTGGTTCAATCAGAAGCGCAATAACTGAACACCTCGTCAATACCTGTCACACATATCATAGCACCTCAACTGACTCATCATTCAGAGTCATTTACAAAGTAAACAAAAATCTACCAATGGCAGTGTGTTTCCGACTTCTTTGTACTGCGGAAGCTCTTGCCATATGCATCGAAAAGCCGGAGCTGTGTCCAAAAGAAACTAGTCCAGCCTTTACGACTACCATGCACCTAGTTCGGTATGTTCCCTTATCCTTCAGTTTTTTTTGTTTTGTTCTCTCTGTGTGCACTTTTCTCTCTTTGTCTTCATTCAATTCACCCCATTTTTTTCGGTCATAAAATCAGTTATTTTAAGTTTGTTTCCATGCTCCTCCTGATCACACTTGTAATCCGTTTAGAATAACCATTTTACAATTATATTCTAATCCTGTGTAAATCTTTCGTTTCTATGCCTCTTGTAATCTATATTCGTACCTTCAAACTTTCATATCAAGTTGAAAATTATTATCACCTTCGTTACTATGTGGAATTAAGCAAATAATAATTGTATCCATGTAAAATAATTTATATAAATGCGATTGTACAGCTGCTTTTGAGAATGAAGTCGCCGAAGAGATCGCCATTTTTGCTGAACTTATTGTTCTTTTCAATCTAATGACCACCAATAGCTAACTGTTTTCCAACCTGATCCATCCTATCTCAGCTCTAACCTTGGTCGTCGAGGAATGAGGTGGCTAGGCATGTTTAACACACCACATTTCCTAACCATCTCAATCAGTGTAATTTCACAACTTCATCGATTGACTTGCCCTCGATTGACTAGCACTCGACCGAAGCCTAACCTCAATGATACTCAATATATATTATACCACTTAACACGAGAGAGACAGAAAGCGAACATCTACAGTCGAAGACAGTGCTAGCCATTTTCGTATCTTCCACTTTTCAACTGCTACACTTCGGTGCCAAGTTCTATGTTGAATCCAGCAGCAGCAGCAGCAACAACCGTGAAGAAGGTCGATATGAATTGTTGTTGTGCAGTAATGCTCTTGTAGTTGGGTATTTGATATGTGTTTGTATTTATTTGCATTTCTAAATCTCCTGTATTAGGACCGCTCTTAGCGAATGTCTTCATGTCAAGCTTAGAGAACGGCCCACTAAAGGAAACCATCGAGAGTTTGTTTATGTATAAAAGATATATAGATGATACCTTCATTGTCTGTGAGGAAAACTCTTCAACTGCCGAACTTCTTGGAATATTTAATGGTTCTCACCCATCTTTGCTTTTCACGGTCGAAGAAGAGTCGAATTCCTCGTTTCACTTCCTTGACGTTAAGCTAGATAGAAGAGAGAATGGAACGCTGTTAAGGTCGATTTACCGAAAGCCAACATTCACAGGGCAGTAGACTAACTTCAACAGTTGGGTACCTTTAGGGAGAAAGAGAAATCTTATTCATTCCTTATGCTCCAGAATTCGTAAAATCTGCTCTACAGAGACAATCGATAGTGAACTAGATAACCTTCGATCAAATCTCCTTAACAATGGATATCCTACAAGGTTTATTGAACGTAACATCAAGAAAGAATCCGCCCCTAGACAAATCACAGTGCCAAAGAAAAAACTGTTTATGAGTCTTGCATTCAAAGGTGACACCATTTCTGAATTGATTAAAAATCGTTTATCTAAATGTATTAAACGCACTTTTCCTGCAGCTGACTTGCAACTAGTTTTTACCAGCCGAAATATGATTAGACAATGTGTCAAGGATAGATTACCGCTTATGTCCACATCTATGTGCATTTACTCTTTTACCTGCTCCTGTGGAGCTGATTATATTGGACGTTGTAAGCGTACTCTCCGAAAACGTGTAGCTGAACACTATCCGGTTTGGTTAATGAAAGGCGAACGTAGAACTGTGAAGTCGTCTATTTGTGATCACCTGTTAGAGTCTGGTGATTCAGCCCCACGTGATTCATCCTTCAAGGTTATCTACATGGCAAAATCGAATCGCTCCAAAAGTTTACGTTTTCTTCACTTATGCATAGCCGAAGCTTTAGCTATACACGAACAGAAACCTAAATTATGTGTTCAAAAACGTTTTGTCAAACCCCTTTCTTTACCTTGGTCATAGTAATGTTCTTTCTAGTTTTTACTTTATTTTATTTTACCACTTGAATTCATTCCACTTCACTTCACATCTTTATTCTTATCGTAATCGTACTCCTAATTTTTAGACAACGCTTGACATTTTTAAAACAAATATTTTTGATATCAATTCACTTATAAAACAATCTTTAATAATTTTGTAATTCATCCACTTCAACTCTACCCCTTATAACATTTTAATTATCGTTATTCTTATCACTTATATTGACTGAGCAATTATTTAGTGCCACTTAATAACTTTTTTCTGTAATATAAATACGACTGTACAGTTAACTTGAAAATGAAGTCGTTGAAAAGAAATTTCTTCTCTGAACCAAAAAAAACTGTGTGTTCATTCTATCGAAATCGACCATCTAAGAAAGGAATTTTGTAATCTGACCCCTCCTCTATGGCGAATTTGATTTGTCTTCCAACTTGGATGGTGTTGATTAATTCGTCTGCGTGCTTGCTAAACTGTTTCTTCGACGTAACGCATTCAGATTTTCGGTTCAAAGATGTTATATCTTGTAGGAGGAGGACATTGAAAGCTTCTCAATTTTTTTAAACCACCATCATTTTGCTCAGAGAATGCAATTACACCAGAACCTACCGTCCCTTAGCTATTTATATAAATCGTTTACATTATTTCCTAATAGGCTGAGACTGTGCTTCAGTTGCTCGCCAATGACGCAGATGATTCGGGATTCGTTCCTCTGCCGGCTCACGCCTAAACCAAGCTTCCTAGTGGGTAGTAGTAAGCCTGGTAAAGAGTGAAGGTTAGGCATAAAGCTAACAACCCCTCCCCACTGCTGCTTGATTTCCGAAATACCCATTAAGACATTGAAATAAGAACAAATTAGTTCAGCGAAGAGTCTCTTTTCGGCGAATTCATTCACTTAGCTCTACAGTCGCAAATATATATACAATTATTTTGTGTGTGTGTGTGTACATTAGGTTTGTCAAAATCAAAATCAAAATAACAGTTGGTGTGGGTTGTTGATTATATCATCAAAATAATGAAGAAGTTAAAATGTGTGATTAATAATCAAAGTTGTAACTAAGTGGGGTGAAGATTGGTAAGATGTGAGTAGGGTTACGTAATATAGACATGTTTAGAAAGATTAGATGCTAGTGAAGGAGTTTGGAGACAATTATGAAAATAAACTAGATAATAGATGAAAAGATTGAATGGGTTAGTTACTAAAAATTGTTATACGAAAAATTGCAAAAAATTGATAACAAAATGTTGATGACAAATAAACTTGAAATTAAACCCACGGTAGTAGGAGGGGGTGGAGAAGTTTCTTCTGTGTGCATAAATCAGGCTTTTCTATCCAAATCGCTAAGGCTTCAGCAATACAAAGTATACGGAAGCTTGTCGATTTTGGAAGGCTTCTTTTGACTTTATAGATGACTTTGAACGACTTCTCCTTGCAAATCGAATGACCAGTGTTGAGTATATGCTCCTTATTGCTCCGTTGTTACCTTTCCGTAGCCAGGCGGGATAGTGTTCTTGAACTCTTTTAGATAAAACACGCATCGAACGACCTATATACCTCGCTCCACAAGAGTAAGTGAATTGGTACAAAGTCATAAAAAGAAGCCTTCCAAAATCGACAAGCTTCCGTATACTTTGTATTGCTGAAGCCTTAGCGATTTGGATAGAAAAGCCTGATTTATGCACACAGAAGAAACTTCTCCACCCCCTCCTACTACCGTGGGTTTAATTTCAAGTTTATTTGTCATCAACATTTTGTTATCAATTTTTTGCAATTTTTCGTATAACAATTTTTAGTAACTAACCCATTCAATCTTTTCACCTATTATCTAGTTTATTTTCATAATTGTCTCCATACTCCTTCACTAGCATCTAATCTTTCTAAACATGTCTATATTACGTAACCCTACTCACATTTTACCAATCTTCACCCCACTTAGTTACAACTTTGATTACTAACCACACATTTTAACTTCTTCATTATTTTGATGATATAATCAACAACCCACACTAACTGTTATTTTGATTTTGATTTTGACAAACCTAATGTACACACACACACACACACACAAAATAATTGTATATATATTTGCGACTGTACAGCTAAGTGAATGAATTCGCCGAAAAGAGACTCTTCGCTGAACTAATTTGTTCTTATTTCTGATAGCCTAAAGCTTAAAGAGGATATATGTTCCTCTTGGAGTTCAAAGGAATAAAATAGAATTTTAAAAAATTAAAATTAGTAAACAAAAGTTTACATCTCCATCCCCATTAGCGATCAAAGTGACACTGACATTGCTATTTGTAGTACATCTGTTATCGCTTAAACCTACCTTAAACGTTTTCCTTTTTATTGCAACGCCTTATGAATGTAAACGGCTAGTGTGTGTGTGTGTGTGAATGTTTGAGTGTATCACACGTCCTGAAATTCGGCTTTTTATTTTTCGATTGACACTTTCACTCAATCTTAATACCGTTTCGGAACTAAAACAGTCAGCTGATTATATATATAAGCTGAGCATAAGTATGTTAAACAGAACACTGACTGACTGACATCACTCCACTTGCCAATTTTTTTTGCGGTATTTTTTTTGGAGTAATTAAACAGTATTTACCGATTCTTTCATACAAAAGAAATAAATAATCGTTAAACAGGTGATTACCTAAGTGCATGTGATTGGCGTGTTATTTTTACAGCAGCTGATTCGGTCCGTTCTCTCTCTCCCTCATATATATATATATATATATGTATATATATATATATATATATATATATATTAAAACGATTAGTCCCTTTAATAAATTTGAATAGGGCATTTAGAAAACAAATTTACCGGGATGATATCGTCATTTCATAGTGTCTTGACAACTGCTGCTTTACAACTAACATGGTTCACAATAATGGCCAGTTGTGCGGTGGATACATTTTTCAACGTAGAATAACAGATTAGTAGGTATGGGGTGTCAAAATAAATAGTCGTATTTGAGTGTGACAAACGTCGTGATAGGCTGAAATCGATTACAAAATATTTCGGTGAAATGGGAGACAATGGTGGTGGTGATTAGTCGTCATAATAGATTTGTAGAGTGTGGGGTAGGAAAAACTGACAAGTCAGTTCAAGGTTATAAAAGGTGTCAGGTGAGTGAGTGGCTAGTACAAAGTGGTCTGTGTTAAACAGGAGATAGTAAGACTGCAATGAGAAGTCCATCATGAAATAACCAATATGTGAAATGAAACAGATGGAGGCATACGTTGAGAAAAGAGATAATATCACTAATAATAAGTCCGGATAGTATAAATGGAAAATTCGATAGTATTGAGAGAATGTTTACATGAAGGGTATAACTTATAACGAATAATAATAATAATAATGATAATAGTTGTAATAGTAAGCAAAGAAAGAAAATAGACACCAAGAGGGTTAAGGGGAAGAAGCACACTTGGTGAGAAGAAGAATCATCACCAAGAGTGTTTCTTCCCCTTAACCCTCTTGGTTTATTTTTTCTTTCTTTACTTATTATTATGATTATTATTATTCGTCATTTCACACATTGGTTATTTCATGATGAACTTCACATTGCTGTCTTACTATCCCCTCCTCTTTAATACATATCACTTTGTACTAGCCACTCACTCACCTGACACCTTTTATAACCTTGAACTGACTTGTCAATTTTTCCTAACCCACACTCTACGAATCTATTATGACGACTAATCACCACCACTGTCTTCCATTTCACCGAAATATTTTGTAATCGATTTCAGCCCAGAGCACGTTTGTCTCACACAAATACTACTATTTACTCTGACACCCCATAACTACTCATCTGTTATTCTACGTTAAAAATGTATCCGCCACATAACTGGCCATTATTGTGTAACGACAACAAATATTTTATTTTATAATTGTAAGAACCTGTAGAGGAGAAATTATTGAAAAGAATATTCTTCGTTCAGATTGACTTTTAATTCATGGGATATGGGGATGCTTCACACTATCAAACCCTATAACATGTTTCACAATAATAATAAAATAAAAGGTATGACAACTACTTAGTAATATAAAACAAAAGTACATACTACTAATGACCAGTTATATTTCTATATAGGTTAAGTAGTCAGTTCCTTTTTCTTTTTCTTTCCTTTGTTTAGATAAAGAAGAACTCAAGATTAAATTGACTGAAATGACTACACGAAATCAAGAATTAAAACAAAAAGTATGTCTTGTCATTATTTTGGTTATTATTATTATAAGTAATTTTTTTCAGTAACCACTATTTACTAACGTGCATCGGTGGCACAGTGGTTATGATGCTCACCGACCATGCACATGATCCTGGGTTCGATCCCCGGCCGACGCACACTTGATATCAATGGTCGGCCTGCTAATATTTGGGCTACCGATATCTCACATGCTGGAAATTCTATACTTGTGCCAAAATACTGTGTATAATTAACCTATGATAAAAAAAAAATTAAATCAATAAATAAAATGCCTAATTGTCTTATTAGATGGTATATATTGTAAGAAGAATTCTGTGAAGTGACATTCTGACATTACGGAGGAATTAGTTGTGGAAATGTGACTGGGTTGACTTAGGCATTTATCTTTCAATCTGTAGATTTTTGGGTCTTGAATGCTGACTGACATACTTCAACTTCAGCAACAACTGGACAGTATCATCAGCCTTTGCAAGCAGTCACTGTGACTTGTATCTGCGCGCACACATTATTATTATTATTGTCTCCTTTAGTTCCTAGAGGAACGTGGGGCCTCAGCCTGACGTCTCCATTGCGTTCGGTTCTCTGCCAACGTTGTCACCTGGCTCCAAGTCTGCTCACATGCTTTCATCTCCTCTTCACATCACCTCCAAGTCACCCTTGTATTGACGACCAACTCGCCGCTTCCCGTTCGGGTTCCACTCGATGGCTTGTCTAGTGATGTCACTTGATGGTTTGTTTTCTCAGAGTATGGCCAATCCACCTCCATTTCTTCCTACATATTTGTTGCACAATCGGTTCCTGCTGGGTTGGTTTGTTCATTGTCAGAGATTTCTGTTGCTGATCTTTTCTGAGTAGTATTGAGCGAAGTCAGCTGTTGATGAAAGTCTGTAGTTTGTTCGAAGTGACCTTCGTGACGTGGCGCCAAGTGTCTGATCCGTATAGTAGCACTGACTGACTTTACATTGGAGTTGAAAATCCGGATCTTATTTTTGATGCTGAGTGCTGAGTGTTGGCCTCCACACAGACTTGAGAGTAGTGAAAGCTTGTTTTGCTTTTCCGATTCTTGCTTTGATATCCTTATGAGTTCCGCCTGTAGTTGAAACGATGCTTCCCAGGTAGGGTAGGTAGGTGGAGGTTGATTCTTTCAGATTCCTCCCATTTATGCTGGCTGATTGTTGTCTGTTGCGCACACAAATATACATGAAAAAGAAACTTGATTAATGTTGCGTTTCTGTAGTCCCCAGGTGGCAGCTTCTTGAACTTCTTGAAGTCGGTTTCATATGAAGATCTTAAGGTGGCAGTATAATTTAGGATGTACGATTTTCAGGGTCATGGTCGTCTAACTCTTCTCCATAGCGGATAGATAGCTGGGTTGCTAGTCGTCAGAGGGAAGCACCCCTCTGCGGTGACATCCTTCTATACGCCAGTGATGGTGACTTCTATCCGAATAACCTTTCAGGTTGTGATTAAACCTGCGTGAACATGCATTCCAAGCAGTGCTGCTCTTTGGGTTATTGTGCAGTATGCAAGTTCGATCACCATGTAAAAGTGGTGGCAGTCATATTTCGATATCAAGTAAGAAGTGTAGTAGGTGGGGATAGATTTATGTTCCATTTTAAATTATTTTCTTTGATATAATACACAGTAATACCATAGTTGTTACTTTCACATGGCGATCAATCAGGCTTGCATATTGTAATGACCGAATAAGCTACACTGTGTCTAGAACTATTGTTCCTGGAGGATTTACCATGACAGAAAAGTCGTTTGGATAGTGGTTAGATTAGACGCAGTTATTAGCATAGTGTAAGTCGTTTATATTAAGGCGTCTGTGGACGATGTCGTACCGCTGACGAATACGGAGGGATGTAACAACAGTAAGGTGTTTCCTTCGTATGACTAGTAACTCAGCTACGCTGTCTCTCCTCTACAGAGAGTCGGGATTTAGAAAAAATCCAATTCGAGAATTGCACATCTTTGTCTTACCGTGTGGCGGTCTGTATCCGGTTATGCCATCTTAATGCGGAGGCAATACCAAAAACCACTTTAGACAGGTCATGTCCGACTGGTCTCAAGATGTGGGCAGTCGCCTCCATACCTTCCATAAGCACAATTCCCAGTCAGTACTATAACTGTTGTTGTTATCTCACAAGCATTGAACTCTGTATTCAAGAACATTCTCTGTGACAGATTTCACACTTTGTCTAACTGTCCATATTGGTGGGAGTGAAGCTCATTGACTTCAGCACCTTAGCCTCAGCCAGTGACCCTTAGGCTTAAATCGCTTTCCTCCTAATATAGCGTTTGAAGCTGGGTAGTGGGATCCATGATGCATCATAGCTTAGTACATGGAAAATCTGTCCTAGGTAACTGGGCTCAACCCATCTAAATACTGCTATCGAAATAGATGGAGCCAGTGTGAATCTTTCATCTGGCAACCCTAAACCCTTTGGTCATCTCGATACATTCGCTTATCTCATTGTCACCTAATTCGCTACTTGTATCAGTATCATGAGATGGATATTAGTGGTAATGAATATCGATATGTCGTTTTCATGCCTTGCGTTTTGATTGGAACATACAGTTAGAGAACCACTTAAAAACCATCAGGAAGTACTGGACAGTTGTTGTTTCGCTGTTGTTCTGGACTCTTCAACAGCACACACCCATGACTCCTCCATGGGATTGAACCTAGGACTTTCAGGTTACGGAATTCAGTGACCCATCAGTTCTATCTTCCAACACTTTGCGATGCATGGCGCCACTGCCGCTGGTTACAACGTCACACCAGAAATTCAGGCAACATCATTCTGTAGTCAATACCTAGTGAGTACTGGGTTAATCCCCAAGTGTTATTTGGCGCGGAGTTGATTGGTTTCAGGACTTACTACAGGCTAGGGCTGGTGTTTTAAGAGCTCATCAACCGGGAGTCGAGCCGAGACCGCCGACGTAGCTAGCGAACATCCCTAACATAAAACGACTGATTCAAATATCACTATAGGTGGTTGATGGGCATAATTCTAAATTCCTCTGTTTGTATTTTCGATTCCATTTTATCTTTTTGTCACAGTGCTCCATCCTTGCTGCTAAAGCTGAAGAAAGTGTCCATTTAAAAGATGAATTAGATATAGCTCGTGAAGAGGCATCGACTGCTCTCCGCCTATCGGCTACAATTGAACAATTACGTAAACATGCTGATGAGGCAGTCAGCTTACGTGCACGTTGTTCCCAACTAGAAACAGATAATCAAGTGTGTATGCAACGATTGGCTGAATTAGAACAAGAAACACGATTGGGCGGGAAAATTCGTTCTCAAGTGAAAGCCCAGCGTTTACAAGCTGAAGATGCCCAACTGGAAGCCAGTGAAGCTATCAGACGAGCAGAATTAGCTGAACAAGAGTTGAATAAGATTAGACAAGAATTGATAGCGACAAATCGTGAAAAAGAGGTAGGTTATTATTATATCTTATTTAGTGTTGAGTTTTTTTCTCTATAGTTTGGTTTGAGAGAATTAGTGATGCTTTTACGACTTGATCACGGATTGATATCAGTCAGAGAAACCTTGAAAACCAGCATTGGATTACTGCACAGCTGTTTAATCCGCCTAGTTTGGGAATCATCGGAAGTACGCACCCACTGCCAGGGTTAGAACCCAGGACCTTCTGGTTACAAGGCTAGCGAGCTCGTATACCATTCAGCCACTGGGACCCGATTCATTGGCCAGCCCATGAATTCTAACTTCTACCAATTGGTGATTTAGCGTGACCCTAACCAGTGTCATCGGTGGGACATCCATCCTCACATGTGACATCTGGATGCACCTCACTGGTCACGACATCTCACTAGAACTCCAGGAAACTCCGTCCGTCCTGTAGCAAGTCACTAGCGAGCATCAGATTAATTTTCCAAAGTTTGGTTTGTAAGGGTGAGTGCCTCGGTTGCATGGGTTATACAAAAAACCGTGGAGAGCGCGAATACTGGTACATATATAGGTTTGAACCAACAAAGATGACTCTAGAACAACTTGGCTGCTTCTTGGATAATTTGCATCTAATGTCACAGAAACCCAAAGAACTACAAGCGGAAATCTGCAAGTTGGCAGAAGGAACAGGCAGCGAATCACAGGGCTTCAAGTGAACTTAGACAAGTTAGAGCTGACATCTGATAATCAACAATAACGACAACAGGCATCACTTACCTGACCCAGGCACATCATCGTTCGAACTAAAGACTGCACAGATGAGGAGATCGAAAGCAGGATAGACATTCATTTAACCACTTTAAGGAACAGGAATCGTATTTTCAACTCTAATGTCAAATCAGTTAGTCTTTCATATATGATTCAGGGACTTGGGTGGGGAGGGGCACATGACCAAAAGCATTTCTCACGAGCTACTTCAGACTTTTATTAACAGCTGTAGATCACATAGTCAGCTAGAAAGGATTTACACCAGGGAACTCTGTCACCGAATCAACCAAGAAGCTACTTTGATTGGACACTAGTAACAAGTGTGATGTGTCTAGTCCTTTCTTTGGTGCAGACTGAATTTAATCAGTCAGGTGGCTACCATGCCAGGTGGTGGCTCGCCATCATGGTGCACATTGATTTGATGATATTAGATGGTTGGAGGCAATCGGTCACAGGATGCCTCACCTGACCTAGGTTTCGCGCTAGTTGGCACTCATCGGTCAGCAAGGCGTATCTGCAACCACCTCGGAGGAACTCATGTCCTCATCGTCTGAGATTCGAACTCGCGTCACCCAACCAGTGAATACTGCAGTCAGAGAGGTTACTACTGAGCTACTCGGCCTTCCTGCAGATGTCATCAAATCAATATGCACCGTGATGGCGAGCTACCTAGTGGAATGGTGGCCATATTGCAACCCTGACTGATAGAATTCAGTCTGCACCAAACAGAGGACTAGGCACATCACACTAGTTACTCAGTAGTGTCCAATCAAAGTATCCAATACAGTCCTACAGGAGTTCAATAGCGAGCCCGAATAACTCAGTGGTAACTTCTTTGACTGCAGTAATCACTGAGTGACGCAGGTTCGAATCTCATAAGCGACATGAATTCCTTCAGGGTTGCAGATACGCCTTGCTGACTGACTGGTGAGTGCCAACTAGCACGAAACCTAGGTCAGGCAAGACTTCCTACCGATTGCCTCTAACCATCTAATATTAACCAAGTAGCTATCGCTCAACAAATATATCAAAAGAAATGGAAGTAAATTGGACATACGCTGTGGGTGGGGGGGGGGGGAGACTGTTGAGTGAAATCATGCATACCACGAGTCCCTCGAGAAGAGCCCAAATAGGAAATGACGAGTCGGATATTGATAAATGGATGATATGGAGGAGATTATGTCTGGAGGAGATGAGAACTTGTGGGCAGTTGTGGAGCCAGCTAAGAAAGTCTACAAAGGACAGGATGTGAAATAGAGACGTGCTGCTTGGGTGGGATCCGATAGAATAATAATGCACTTCTAACTGCTGTCAATTCCACGATGTATTGTATTGCATCACTGTCAACCTATGTCATTGATGAGTATCTGCTTTATGTCTGTAATGTGGTAAACCTTATCACCAATCACGACTTCTGTTTAGAACTCAAGGAACATCTCTCCTGTAGTCACAGATGAACAGGAGATTTATATTCACATTTCGGCGTTTTTTTCTATCCGTTACACACAGACACACGCCTGATACATGAAAGACCCTGTTGTTCTAGGCAACTGAGTTGTGAGTTGAGTCTTTTATTTGATTTAGTAAAGTCAATAGCGGAAAAGGACTACTCACTATCTGTAAACAAGAAGCCACTTTATATGTACGACTACAATTCAAGGGCGATATACCAAGTGAGATAATTACGAGGAAATTAAGAAAATCAGTTGAAAGAACTTTTAATGCTGGCGAACTACACATCTTGTTCTCTATACGACCGATGCTACTAGAAGTACCTAGACTAGCCACTTTAAATTGTATCTACCAATTCAACTGCGCTTGTCGTGGAGTGAGCTATATTGGCCGTTACTCGCTAGTGAACATCTCCCACTATGGCTAAGTAAAGGTGTAGTTAAAACCATTAACAGTTCGATATTGGACCATATAGTGCAAACCGGCCTGCCACAAAGCCAGCCAACGTGGAAGAATCATTCTCTATAATCTACCGGGTGCCTAATAAATTGCTAAAATCATCGAAGCACCGCATGCTCCAAACAGCAGAGGCTATTGCAATTCGCCTCAGATGGCCAGTGTTCTGTGTTCAAAAGAAGCAAGTTCGGCCAGCCACTAGTGCCCTGGCCAGCCTTCAGTAGAGACTATAAATTCATGAATTTGTAATATTATCTTTCCTAATTTTTCTGATATTCAGTGTATTGTTATGTTGATGCTATTGAACTGTAATCTACTGATATTATTGATTCGATGTTATTTAAACAACATTAATGTTGTTCATAACACTAATTCATTCATTCACTATAATGTATATATAACTGTAGAGCCTGATGATGAAGGGGTTATCGAAAAGAATATTCTTTGTTCAGCAACCATTCTTTTGAAAAAATGTTAATGGGCATTTTTAATCAGTTAAAATCAATATGTCTTCAGGTTCTTTCACATGCATATTTTCTTTCTTCTTATTTATCGATGCAAAATAATGAGTGAAATGAACAGTTTACAAAAAAGTGGGCCTTTCGTTTAAAAATGTGCTTATCATTATTCACTTTTTATGAAATTTGTCATGATGACCTGACGTTCATTGTGTGCTATGTGTGTGTTACCCCCACGGTCATTAGCATCACGATTTGCATTTAAAATCTATTTTAAACATTCAATTTTTTTGTCTTTTTCTTTGAGATTACATTAACAATCTGTGTTTGTTTATTTATTTATTCGATTAGTCGACTCTACACTCATTCTCAAGTGATTAAACATAATTATCTATCATCTCAAAGCGGTTTTTGTTACATGAACCAAACAGCTGCTTATAGTTGCATTTTGAAGCGATGATCTTTTAGACAAAGTGATAGAAGACGTAATGAGTGGAAGACATGAAAAGCCTAGCTAGCTGTCTTTGATCATAGGTGTCTGCGTTCTATCTCCCGTGTCAAGTGGTGGTATAATAAGGTGAGCAATATTGAGGTTGGGCACTAGTCGAGTGCTAGGTAGGTGGGAGCGGAAATCAATCAACGAGGCTGTGAAATTACATCGACTGAGATGATTAAGACATGTGTTACATATGCATGCCTAGTCATCGCGCCCCTCGACTGACGGGCAATGTTAGCTAACATAGGGTCAGCCTGGAAAAGAGCTAGCCACTGGCGGTCAAACCAAAACATGGCTTCACCAGTCAACGAAATCCGCAACAGTTAGTTTAAGCCAGCCAGTCACGTAGGGAGGTATAGACTTCCTGACTAGTTTGGGTCTGCGGGACGGTAAAAACCAATGAAGGCTGGAAACAATTAGTGATATGGCTCAAAATCGTTCTTGGTGATGGCTGGTGCGCATGTATCCACTCCTTGTGACTTATGATTTCCAATGAAACTATATTGTTCTTTGTTATTACTATTCATTTGTCTCACCACACCTGTGTTTACTGTCTCTATTATGCATTTCTCCTACTTTCTTCTCTTGCTCTGTGTGCTACACGGAGGGAGTGTGACGACTTGAACTGCTGCACATCGGTGCAAAGTTTTATGTCGAATACAGACAGACAGAGAGAAGAAAACGTAATTTGTCTGAATTGCCACATGTTTCGAGCAATCTGGTCACATATGATCTTGTCATAGGAATATATATATATATATGCCGGCCGATAACTGCTACCTTGCCGTGGTGGTCGGGCTTGAATGCCGCAGTGACCCAACAAGCTAAACTGACTGGGACTCATGTCCCTGCAGGTCCTACCATGCCAGGAAGGTTGTTTGGATAGCGGTTAGACTAAAAGCAGTTACCATTGGGTACATGGGCTCCAGAATCCAATCGGATCAAATGGCGTACGAACCGATATGGGTCACCGGCAACCATGGGAACGCAGCACCTGACGCTGCTCCGCTGCCTTGCGGGTTAGACTCCAAGTCAAAGACTTTTGTTCTCCGTTATTACTATTCCTTTGTCTCACACCTCTGTTTACTGTCTATATTATGCATTTCTTCTACTTTCTTCTCTTGCTTTGCGTGCTACATAGATTGTGGCGACTTGAACTGCCGCACATATGTGCAAAGTTCTACGTCGAAAACCGACCGACCGACCAAAGGCTCGGGAGGTGGTCCCTTAAGAAAACCACCTGCTTCGGTCTGGGCACCCGGGCAGTATCTCAGCCCTCACAAAATGAATGAAATAAAGCAGCAAAATATCAGTGGAACTTATCGCGCGCTCGTAACAATGCGTTCAAGCAATAATGATCTCTCAATTTCCTGTATTTTACCTTTACTCACCTTGACTTCTTAACCTTCGACAGCCTTTCGCCTTTGTCTGGATTCCTAACCTATCTGTGTCGTGTTGCAATTTCCTTCTTTCTTGCCTTCCTGATGATAGTTAACGAATACTGTTTGAACTTGTTAAACATGACTGTTTTCCTTCCTGATGAAGTTCTTTATCCGTTTTCTACTTATATTTTTACTTTTAATCTATGTTGTTTTATTATTATTGTGAGGCGTATCTTTCTTGGTGCCATATTGTACCAAGTTTTTCTGCGTTTAAATAAAGATAATAATAATAAATAATATATATGTATGAAGGTAATAAAGAGCTCGCCTTGTAACCAGAAGGTGTTGGGTTTGAAGCCCTTGTGGTGGATGCCTACAGAATTTCCAAATGATGATGAAATCCTGTAGCCAATCAATCAAATTCCTACCAACCAATACTTGAAACAATCATGAGGTGAAAAGAGAGACTTAGGTCAATTTAAAAGTTCGTCATATTTAAGGTCAAAATAACAATGAAGATCACTAAACTAAAAAAGAGAGGTAATAGTACATCTACCCTGGCTAGTGGTATGGTATCAAAACAAAGTTTACCAAGGAAGGTTTATTTATTGTGATGACATGATTGTCAGTTGACAGGGAGGTTTCAAACTTACTAAACAGTGCTCAGAAAATTACATTTAGATAGGTTTTAGGTGAAATCCACAATTTGCAAATTGGTTAGCCATTTGCAGTCTACACAGTTTGAACTGATTAGACTGTCCGAGCTGAGCCGAACCGCGTACACCGCAGATGAGCTCGCCGTTCCGAACGAGTCAAACGGCCGTCCGGATGGAGAGACTATCACTGATATTGCTTCGAATTGTTCTCACTTGCGCAAATATATCCACTCTTTGTAATCTCCCAGGATTCATTAGCCCCTTGTGTTTTCCCATGTTACTATTCTGCCTCCCTTATATTTCTGTCCTTTATTATTGAATAAAATGGTATTTGTAAGAAAAACAAAGTGTACAGTAGGTTGAAGGTGAGACATTAACTCATCGACGAAGAAGATATTGCGAAGTGGTCGCACTACGTCATGCATCGGCAGAAGTTAGAATTCATGGACTGGCTGGCCATTGGATCGGGTTCCAGTGGCTTAATGGTCTACGAGCTAGCTCGCTAGGCTTGTGACCAAAAGGTCTTGGGTTCGAACCCTACTGTGGTGTGGGTGCGTACTGCTGAAGAGTCCCAAACTAAGCTAATGAAACCACCAGCTTTCCAGTACTCCCTGTAGTTGTTTTCCAATGTTTCTCTGACTGATGCCAGCGATCATGATGAAATCCTCCAACCAATCAAAAAAACAAAAAGAATTTCCCAGATGTTATTCCCCTCCACATATCTCCGTCTCTTCTTTTTTTTTCTCTTCAGTGTATCTTCTCAGAACTAACCCGTCTTCGATCGTGCTGTGAAGGCCTTCAATCATGTGCACAATTATCAGTTTGTAAGTGTGTAATATCCTGAAGTATATATATATTTTAAAAATATTTTTGACTTTTGTTTAACAAAAGAAACCGACTTATCGAATTAAATTTGAGCTGCTTACTTCCTCGAAAAAAACAGACAGCTAAGAAATATATCTCATCTTGGAAGTTTTTATTTTATTTTTACCGCAAATATTTGTGAATGAAATCGGTAGACTTTTGTGAAAACAATTTCACGTGTCTGTCGTCTTTTAGGAATGCCTTTGTAGTGAGTGATATTGATAAAATCTCTTGCTTTTGCTCTCTGTTGGTCTAATTTTGTCTGTAGAATTCCTCCTCCTTGTTCTTTACTGAATATGCGTTGTTTGTTTGTCTGTTGCGTGTGTGTGTGTGTGTGCACAACTGTATAATTGCAGCTTTCCTACCTTTTGATTGAGTTGATTCTTGTTCTGATGATGATCTTGAAGGTGATTGGTCCCTGTTGTATGATGACAGCTCTGGTTGCTGTTGGATGGCGTTGTGACAGCCACACCTTCAGTGTGATTTTAATTGTCGTCTGGTTGATTGCGGTAGATTGCTGGCTGACTCTCCAGTTTTTGATTGGACACTAGTCAGTAACTAGTGTGATATGTCTAGTCCTTTGTTTGGTGCAGACTGAATTCTATCAATCAGGTTTGTAATGTGGCCACCATTCCACTAGGTAGCTCGCCATCATGGTGCACATTGATTTGATGATATTAGGTGGTTGAAGCCAATCAATGGACAGGAAGCCTTGGACACCACCTAGGTTTCGTGCTAGTTGGCACTCATCGGTCAGCAAGGCTTATCTGCAACCACCTTTAAGGAATTCATATCCCGTCATCTGAGATTCGAGCTCGCTTCACCACCAGTGAATACTGCAGTCAGAGATGTTACACCACTGAGCTATTCGGGCTTCCTGTGGCCGATTGCCTTCAACGATCTAGGCCATCACAGTGCACATTCATTTGATGATATTAGATGGTTCGAGGCAATCGGCAGTTAACAGTTAGGATAGTCCACTTACATCTGTTCGATCTGCTTTTACAGATTTCGAACACTTTTCTACAGTGTCTTCTCATTTCTGGTGGAATCTAAGCTGCCTTGTAAGTCTGCCTGAAATGTCCTGCTTACACTTCCATATGTCCGTATCCTTACATTTGCTTTCAACGAAAAAAGACATCGGCTAACTAACTTTCTGCTGAAGGATTTCAGGTGTCAGTGTCATTTGTCTCCAAAATTGAAGTCCCTTCGAGGTTCCAGCGGGACTTTGAAGTTTCAGTAGCAGTGTAACTGCGTTTTTACGTAGTGGTGTTTACTAGTCACACGCCCGAACTTCCCACATTGTCGGGATTATTAGCGGCCAGTATATATATATATATATATATAAGAAAAACACTGCTCAGCGTCGTTCTAGATTTGACAGACATTGGCTTATAGTTTCGTTTTGGATCGCAATCAGTTTGAGAACCATTAAAATCCAGGGACTACTAGATAGACGTTTCATCCTGCTTTTGGCCTCTTCGGAAGAATACTGGCCAATGCATTACCCAACTGAATATCGAGCCCAGGACCTCCAGGTTTCTATAAAACGTGTCTTGGGGAGGGCATATCCTAAAGTTTGTGGAAGCCTCAACTAGCAATTAGGAAGTTTAAAGCACCTTTATGCGTTCAAAGTAACAATTCGTCATCACACTAAACCTTCCTTGATAAACTTTGTTTTGATACCAACCAGGGTAGACGTGCTATTACCTCTGTTATTTGGTTTAGTGATCGTCATTGTTATTTTGACATTCAGTATTTCCTTTTAACTTGAACTAAGCCTATTTTCTCACCCTTTAACTCTTTATTAATTTAATGTATATTCATATGACAACTCCGTATGTGATCAGATTGTTCGAAATACGTGTTGCGCAAATACAACATTACACGATTCAGACAGACAAATTACGTATTCTCATTGCTTTGTCTGAATTCATAAAAGGTTGTCTTGATTGGTCATTCTCCTCCATGGAGCCTTCAAATTGAACTCAGATCTACAAGACAATGAAAAAGTATCAGAAGCTACCTTCTCATGGTCGCCAGTGACCACAACGACAAGTTCATATACACTATTCAACCCGTCTGAATTCTGTAGCCCATGTGTACACCATAAACTTGAAGCAAGTGTATACCTAGTTGGCGTAGACCTGCACGCCCACTGATTAGGTTGCAAATATGTCAGACGTCCACATTTGCCTTCTCAATTGTTTTGATTGATGTTCTCGTCAAGTGGGGAGGTTTTAGTATTCTCTATGAATGATATATAAAAAACTGTTTTTCCGGATAACAGTGACTACGACTGTTGGTTGTTTTCAGTGGTTTTCCTATCCTTTGGGCATCTATCATTTCGTCGAACTGATGTGTATTCATTCTTTTTGTCATTATTATTATTGTTTCCTTTAATTCCTAGAGGAACATAGGGCTTCAGCCGTGCGTCTCCATTGCGTTCGGTTCTCTGCTAGAGTCTTCACCTGGCTCCAAGTCTGCTCACACGTTTTCATCTCCTCTTCACATGACCTCCTCCAAGTCACCCTTGCACTGACGGCCAACTGACTCACCGCTTCCCTTTCGGGTTCCACTCGAGCAATGGCTTGTCTAGTGATGTCACTTGATGGTTTCCTCAGAGTATGGCCAGCCAATCCATCTCCATTTCTTCCTGCTTATTTGTTTCACAATCGGTTCCTGCTGTGTTGGTTCGCTCATTGCCAGAGATCTCTGTTGCTGATATTTTCTGGCCGGCCATTTGATCTTGAGTAGTATTGAGCGAAGACAGCTAGCTGTTGATGATGGTCTGTAGTTTGTTTGAGGTGCTCTTCATGACGCGCCAAGTCTGTGATCCGTATAGTGAGAAGCACTGACTTCAGATTGGAGTTGACAATCCGGATGTTATATTTGATGTTGAGTGATGGGTGTTGACCTCCACACAGACTTGAGAGTAGTGAAAGCTTGTCTTGCTTTTCTGATTCTGGCTTTGATATCCTCGTCAGTTGCGTCCGCCTGTAGTTGAAACAATGCTTCCCAGGTAGGTAAAAGAGGTTGTTTCTTTCAGGTTCCTTCCATTTATGCTGATCGTTGTCTGTTGTTGTTGTCCAGGAATCTTCATCACCTCTGTTTTCTCTATGTTCACCTGAAGTCCTATCTTCTCTGGATGCTTCTTCTGCCAACTTGTTGCTTTTCGTCACTTGTATATCTTCCAGTTTGTGGGAAATCAGACGCATATATCATCGAGTAAATTCTGTCATAATTTTATTTTTTCCCTTATTATTATTTCCTTTTCAGATAGTACACCTGTGAATAACCACCATAATAAAACTAGTCACCTCGATTCTAGTTCAATCCTATCGCCTGCAATGCAATCACAAATGTTAAATCTCCAAGAGGAACTTAGTCGTTTACGTACATCAATGTATAGTATGGAAAGTGGTAGCATTCATGGTGGGAGTGGAGTTGATGATAGTGGTGGTGGTGGTGGTGTCGGTGAAGACGATGCTGATTATATTGCTGATGATGATGATGATAAATTGGCGTTCGAGTCGTCGAATTTATTGATTTGTCAGTCACCACTAGCATCAGATATGCTTGTAACAAGTAGTACATCACGACCACAGAACTGTCATCATCTGACGACAGCAACAGCAGATTGTGCCTTATCCATAGCCGCCTCTGATGTCATCCAGTCGGCGAAAAAAGGGGACAATGATGTTGTAGATGAACAACTACAAGAGGCGTATCACAACCTGTTGACACGATTAACACAGAAAGAAAGCGATTTCATTGAAATGGAACAAAAGTATCGTGGGTATTTATGGAAAGCTCGTGAAGTTATCCGTCTTCTTGAACGCCAGCATCGTATACATCAGGATATTTGTCCAGAGTATAGAAAGAAGAGTTTTTCATTGAAACAACAAGAGAATAGTAGTAATGAGAATAATAATAATATCGTTGACAGTGATAGTGATAACAATAATAATAACAATAGCAATAACAATAATAACAGCCGTAAATCCGATGAAGAGATTAGTCATCTACGCAGTTTATTAGTTGAAAAAGAACGTGTTATTGAAAAGTTGGAAGTGAGTAATCGATATAGAATATTTTTTTGTTTTCTGTTGTTGTTTATTATCTTACACTATTGATATATTATTGATGTTGGTCGTTGATTAAAATTCCTCTAAATGGTTTCAGTGTAGAACTGTGCACCGATGTGCAGCAGTTTGAGCCGCCATACTCTCTCCATGTAACACACAAAGCAAGAGAAGAAAATAAAAATAAATCCAAAATAGAGACAGTAAACAGAGATATGAGGCCAAAAGAATAGTAATATCGAGGCACAATATAGTTTTATTGGATATTATAAGTCACACACTAGCCATTGAGAACGATGAGTTTGAGTCATACCACCAATTTTCTCCAGCCTTCATTGGTTTTTACCATCCCGAGGACCTTTTTCTACGTGGCTTAAACTAACTGTTGTGAATTTCATTGTCTGATGAAGCCATGTTTTGGTTTAACTACCACTGGCTCATTTCCAACCTGATCCTATGTCAGTTAGCTAACATTGCCCGTCAGTCGAGGAAGGCGATGGCTAGGCATGCATGTGTAACACATGTCCTTACCATCTCAATCAATGTGACTTCACAACCTCGTCGATTGATTTCCCCTCCCACGTGCCTAGCACTCGACCAATTCCTAACCTCAATATTTCTCACCTTTCTATACCTTATTATACCACCACTTGACACGGGAGATAGAACGCAGGCACCTATGATCACAGACAGCTAGCTGGTTTTTTCATGTCTCCGACTCTCAATGACCAAGTATCACAGTCATAAAGGAGGATGGAGTGGATTGCTGAGTTATACACACGCCCTTTGGCCGATAGTCGAATATCACGTATACGCCAGAGGCGGTGTGAACTGGCATATACGAAACGAGCTTTGTGTATCCGAGGTGAGATTTCGTGTGAGATCAATCCGTTGAGGCTGATGGTACTTCCCAAGTAATTGAAGCGGTCAACGTGCTCTACCACTTCACTTCGTATTTCTAATCTAGGGGTCGGTGTAGTCCGATCCTTACATTTTACAGGGGCGAATGCAAATGCAGGAGCTAATGCAAATGTTTAACGCTTGAAGTTGGACTAGTGAACGTGTACGTTTGCTTATTTACTAGGAGAGCTGTAAAATTACGATTTCAAACCTATGCTGAGCATGGGGTTCCAGAATGCGAATAGGTCAAGTGGCGTTTTATAAACCTGTTTTGGTCAACGGAAACTTTGTGGGGAGGGGACGTAGCTCCTGATGCTGCTACATTACCTTGTAGATCAGAATTTAAGTCTATATATTGATTGAGAAACTTGGCGGACACATAACGAGATTTCAAACTTTTGTGAAAATAAGATGCGTGAATGGTCGGCTGGAAAAGATAAGTGACGAGGAAGTCTGGGAAGGAATCAGCAAAGAACCTCATGCTCAATGCTTATGGAGAAGGGAATGGAGATACATAGATTGTGAACATACACTGAGGGGTTGGTTGGTTGAGTTCAAGTGGAAAGCAACGAATAATTTGTCAAGTTGTCCGCGAAAGCCATGTAATAGATCATACGAAGGGGAAGTGAAAGCATGTAGACAGTCCTGGAGCCATTTTAAAACGATTGTGCAGAACTAAGTTCAGTGGTGCTGACCTAGTTCGCAGCTCCAGCTTTAAAATCCCAGTAAGAGTGGTGTTTTCTACAGGGTGGAGTTACTAGCCCCACACCTAACCTTCCCCCCTGTACTCGACTAACTACCAGGTAAAGGAATTTTACGAGTGCATCGGTCATAGATTGAACTGTGACCCCGTGTGAAGTTGGGGAGTATGGGATGTCAGATATCTTTTTTTATTTAAGTAGTTAATTAGTTAGTTATAAAATTATATTTGTAAAATCTCAGCGAAATTGAAATGATTAATTACAACGTTTCCAGTTCGGCAATCTGGTTGTCCGAACTTCTTCAGGGAAATTAATCGAATTAACATAACAGAAGTTCGGACCAGATTGCCGAAAGTAGGAAACGTTGGAATTAATCATTTCAATTTCGCTGAGATTTTAACAAATATAATTTTATAAATGTCTACTTCTTACTCAGCGCTCAATTATTTTGCAACTATCCGGTCAAATATTGATCACAGTTCATATGAGTTAATTAGTTAGTTAATTCATTGTATTCCGCTGTCGTCAATGATGTCCTTTATCCTTTTTTTTCAAATCATATAGACTCATCATGAACAAATGCGACGTCATCGTGAAGCTGAAGAACGTCTCCTTTTGACAGCTTGGTACAACTTAATCATTCAGTCAACACAGAACACAATTGAAGATGGTTTAAGGCAACAATCGTGTGAAAATTGTAATTATCCTATAAAATCTCCAAGAACAACAACATCGAAGTCGAATCATGCGAAATCATCCACTGCCGAGAATAATCTCTCCTTCTTAGCTAGACAACGAAATGTCCATTTGAAACCACCGAAAGATTTAACCTCAGTTGTAATGTCCAGTAGATGAATAATGTGTCGGGGGTGTTGTGGACCTTTGTTTCTCCTTCCCGCCTTCCCTCCTCAAAACCCACACGCAGGCATGCAAACATGCATTCATTTGTAATTGTGCATTTTTTTGTGTATTACGTCACCATCATTATCATTTATCCTCTTATCGTGATCATACCCCCCCCCCACACACACAAACATGCACACATATAGACACATTTTCTAGGAGAAAGTGATCAGTATCAGTTGATTCTCCTTTTTGATCTCACCTGTCTATTTATTAATAATAATATTATTATTATTATTATTATTATTGTTAGTACTACTACATGTATATTTCAACCGTGTACAATAATATTTTGATTTCCCCATGGGTTGATTGTTTGAATCAAAATATCCATCCTTCAATGAACACACATGTCACGTCTCCTGCCAAGTATGAATGCTGTGACGATATATTTGAAGACTAAATTGAAATAGTTCGGTGGCGGTGGTGGTGTGATCAGATCCAGGATCTAGATAACTCTCCTTAAGCACCCAAATGGTTTGAAACAACACGGATGCGCTGGGCACTTCCTAGTCACTCACTACGCATGTAAGTGAGTAGTTCCAAGTGGGAGGAAATGCACACGTCTTGCATGTGGCAACCAACCACCACTGCTAGCTGGATACCATCGAGTAAATTACTTAGTTATGTATTATAATGTTCTCTTGTCGCCTCTTTTGTAGCCTTCTTATTATTGTTTTGTTTTATTATCGATTATATGCCCATGATGCATTCTTTATTACTCTTTCTTGTAATTTGATCTTATTTTCCTTTTTCCCCTTGTTTTTGTCTGATCTTTTCCTGTTTTTTGATCACCCTTTATCTTTTTTCTTCTTCTGAACATTCAAATACTATTGAAGACTAGTTAGTAAGTAGTATATACTGCTTGTTTTCACTATGATTAGAAGTAGTAGTAGTAGTGGTAGTAGTATTTGTGCTAACCTCCTCCGTTCACGTTACTTTACGTTACATTACATGAACTGGATCTTGTTCTCTTCTCAGATATTCTTTCTCATATCTTGGGAATGAACGCCTTGTGTTTTTGGCACATAAATTCGTGTCTTTCTTTCTCTGTTCATCTTCTTTTTCGTATTGATTTATTTATTGATTTTGTTCTTTTTGTAATCGATTTGAGTATGAATGAATCAATGATAATATTCTCTTTGTATAAAAAAATTATCAACACAAAGAACTCAATAAATCTCTCTTCTATCATGGATCTTATTGATTTATTTAATGTCTTTTTTGTGTGAGTTGCTGGTGAGATGTTTATTAAAGTGTGTGTGTGTGTGTGTGTGTGTGTGTGTTATTACATTGTGCCAAAATGGCAGCGGGAAGAGGAGGGGCAGGTGGATGAAGGCGCGGTAGTTATATGTTCCTACAAAAAGAACAGGCGTTTCTTGCGATATCATTCTCATACTGTGCAATCGATTATACATCTAGTAAATTATCTTACCAACAAAATGGTTGTGAATTTCTTCCAAAAGGAGTTCGAAACGATTATTAGAACCATACGTTGACTGATGCGTAAAATTCGAAAACAACACAAGATTTGGTTACAGGATTTCATCATGAGCTGACATTGGTTAGAGAACCATTGGAAAGCCTGGGGGTACTGGACATCTGTTTCGTCTTAGTTTGGGACTCTTCATCAGTGGGAAGTCGTGACCGGTAGGGTGCAGCAAGTCGGGTGTGAGGACAAATGCTCGCCGAAGACATTGGCTAGCGGTTGCGCTATATCGTGAATTGGAATTGATGGGCCATTGACTGGCCTTGTAACCAGGAGGTCATGTGCTCGAACCCCGTTGGATGGGTACTGCTGAAGAGTCCCAAGCTAGGTTGACGAAACTGCTGTCAAGTACTCCCTGGTGGTTTTCCAATGGTTCTCTAACCAACTTCAGCTCGTGATGGAATCCTGTAACCAATACTTGAACTCAAGATTTGTCTAAAATACGGTACTATACGTATATATTGGACATAAAATATGAAATATAATATGCAAACCTCGATTGTGAGTTGTCTGTAACTGAATGCTTTCAGGAAAGCACAGTCGCTGCTGTGCATCAATAAGTAGAAAATAGCAGAGCTGTGTCAAAGGCGATGCATGTGTTATTCATACGGCGCGCAAATGTCAGACAGAGAATAAAGGGATACGAATGAACAATGTTCAGTAGTAAGGAGTGCATGAATAAAGCGCATAAAGGCTCGAAATAGACTTGTGGTGAGAGCAGTCTGCTAGCCAAAAGTGGTAGACAGAAATCAATATTTACGTCGGTGGCACAGTGGTTAGGACTCTCGCTGGCCATGCACATGGTTCGGGGTTCGATCTCCTGCAGACGCACACCTGATATCTATGGTCGGCCTGCAAAATTTGGGCTACCGATATCGTATGCTGAAAATTCCATATCCGTACCAAAATATACGGAGTGGAATCAAGCTGTAATCAAAAAAATAAATAAAGCATATACTGTTCAACTATAAGAAATCAATTACTATACATCAAATAGAGCGTAAATCTATTAAGTGCGTTGATCTTCTATAGCGAAGAAAGTCTTGTTTAAGTCAAAAATATGTAGCTCATACTTTCATATTAGTTTGTTTATTAGATGTATCACTCACAGTGAGTGAAACAGTATTATTATTTACTGGATGACACAGTTTCGAACACAATTTATTATTGTTCATAATCATGTCATCAATTATAATCACACGACTTCGAAACTTGAGTTCTATAGTTTTCTTTGTTCTCTACTATTTGTCGTCCTAAGGGTAGTAGAATTCTGCAGATGTCAAACTGGACAAGTGTTGAGTAATTCCTATTACACGTGTTGGTTCTCAGTTGATTCGATAAACGAAGCTTCCGTTATCAATCTCTCCCTCCACTTAGCCACTTACATTAGATTTTAAGACTGTCATCTTATTCCATCTCATCCTATTGTGTAGTTGGGTGTAATTGCGTGTAGTTAGTGCTATAGCTGAACTATTCTCTAGATTTCTTATCTTGTTCGGGTCAACTAATCTAGATTTTGCTAGGCTTTTGTGCTCGGGTAGTCTGACTGACTGCCGCTGTTCTACTACTTTGACCTATGTATTTGATCTGACATTCATTGCAGGACATTTGATAAACTAAATTGTTTTGTTTGAAAGGCTCCAACAAAGGTGGTTTCTAATTTAGTTTGTGGGGTTAATTCCATATTTGTGATGATAGTAGTGATAGCGATAATAATAATGATAATATTAATGAGGACATGCATGTCAAACATGCGCAGGATAATGATAACACCAACAATAGGGAATCTAAATCATCAGTAGTAGTTCCATACCTCGGAAACTTTGCGCAGAATTCTTAAAAAGGCAGGAACATTCAATGCCTCTCCCCACAAACTCAATTAGAAACAAGCTTTGTCGGTTAAAGGATCAATTCTGTGGAGCCTTTAAAACAAAACAATTTAGGTTATCCAATACCCTACCGGTGATGCTTGTCAGGTCAAATACATAAGTCAGACTAGTAGAACAGGGGCAGTCAGACTAGCGGAGCACAAAAGCCTAGGAAAATCTAGATTGGTTGACCCGAATAAGATAAGAAATCTAGAGAATAATTCAGCTATAGCACCCACCACATGCAATTACACACAACCATATAATAGGGTGCGATTGGATAAGACGACTGTTTTAAAATCTGATACAACTAACAGGCTGGAGGGAGAGATTGATAACAGAAGCTTTGTTTATCGAATCAACTACGAACCAACACGTGTAATAGGAATGATTCATCACCTGTCCACTCTGACATCTGGAAAATTCTAGTACCCCCACGACGACAAATAAGAGAGAGAACAAAGAAAACTGAAGTATCGAAGTTGTGTTATTATAACTGATGATATGATTATGAACAATAATAAATTTTGTTCGAAACGGTGTCATCCAGTAAATAATAACAATACTGTTTCACAGACTGTGAGTGATACATCTAATAAACAAACTAATGTGGAACTATTTACTACCACAGTGTTTAAGTTTCACAAATATATTAATAGTTCATACTACTTATTAATGGTAAGTAGTATAAAGTCTAACACAAAAGAAAAGGAAGATGAGAAAAGTATTAATAAGACTGTATAGGTCAAGAATGATAATACTGGAAAGAGTAACTCTTTGCTGGAAACCTCTTCTTCTTTTTATGACTCAATAGTGTTTTTTCGACTATATATGTACTCGACTATTTGGCTTACAATCACTGCGTACTTTTCATGAAATAGGTTCTTGGTTTTTATATACATTTCAAAATAAATATAACTGTAATAACCTTTAAAGTACATCTTTATTTGGCAGGCAGTACAAGTTTTGTTTGAGGTCAGTTACCTGTATTATTGTGGTGTTCACTAGAAGTAACGTTTAGGATTGCCATATGCCTGCCTTTCCTCGTAATGAGAAGTTTTAGCTTAAGAAGGAAGAATTTTAATTATTGAGGACTATTCATAGGTGTATTGGAGTAAATGCACTTGTGTACAACCACTTCTTGCTTGATTTTTCAAACATAAATTGACCGCGTTCTGTTGTATGTCATCTCTGTTACTACAGATAAACAAATTGATCATTGAAGATCACTGAAAGCACAATAGGATTGACGAATTTCTTTTCTGTCTTACACAGGTCTATGTACTTCTCCAGGGTTGAAAGTAAACGCTGCTGGTGGTACATTCATTAGAGCAAGATCTCTTATGAATTATGTGCTTTCAAAAGTCGAATCATACAATTGAAACTAGCAATACAACTGATAGCTGGCGGAATCGATGTAGTGCGGAATGTCGTAAATATAGACTCAAAGATTTAACGCGTGTGCAGCTTTGCTTGACCACAGGATGTTAGTGACTCGCTGGCGATGATACCTTAATGTCAATACTCACAAACAAACTCTTGCAAAATAATCTGATCCTTGCTAGTGACTGGCTGTAGGATGAAAATGACTGGAGTTCTAGGGAGAAGTCGTGACCAGTAGGGTTCAACAGCAGGTTGGACGTGAAGACAAATACTCACCGGTGATACTGGCTGGTGTGGTGCAAGTAGTGCTAAAATCACAAATCGGTAGAAGTTAGAAGTCGCAATTAGTAGTGTTCTCTGAGGTGATTGGTTTA